TGAAGACGGGACGGCTGTGGAACGGCGGCAGCCGCAGGAGGAGGAGGAGTCTTTTCCGTTCAGCCATTCTCGAGTCGCGAGCAAAGTTAGGTGCCAGACTTCACTTGTTTTACTTTTAATATCTGTTTGCTTACAATTTCATTCCAAAACATTGGTGGACATGCTGCAGTGATTGGATTGATTAGATTTAAATGCTGTGACGCGACTCGAGGGACACACAATTATGTTACAGGACCTCCGGGAGAAAAAAAAAAACACGACCAGACTCGATAGTGGTATCGATAAGCCCAAACGTTATTGATTTTCGGGTTTTGAAAAAAGTGGAACCGGGTCCTTGATGGAACCGGGTTTCGATCCCCATCCCTAGTCTACACCGACTGCCATAAGGGGTTAGCCACCACTCTACACCGACTGCCCTTAGGGGTTAGCCACCACTCTACTCCGACTGCCCCAAGGGTTTAGCCACCAGTCTACACCAACTGTCCTAATGGTTTAGCCACCAGTCTACACCAACTGCCATAAGGGTTTAGCCACCAGTCTACACCGACTGCCATAAGGGTTTAGCCACCAGTCTACACCGACTGCCATAAGGGGTTAGCCACCACTATACTCCGACTGCCAAAAGGGGTTAGCCACCACTCTACTCCGACTGCCAAAAGGGGTTAGCCACCACTCTACTCCGACTGCCAAAAGGGGTTAGCCACCACTCTACTCCGACTGCCATAAGAGGTTAAGGCCAATTTATGCTTCTGACGCATAGCCTCTGCAACCGTCAAATCTGTCTAAAAAAATCCTGACTAGGCGTTGGTGGGTCGCAAAGCCACACAGACCTCAAGCGGAAGTGCGCAGACAAAAAGCAGTTGTGATTGGTCCTTGGTATGTCTTTCAGCTGTCTGTGTGGTCTTCCTCCTCGATTCGGTGCCAGGGCGCGACATTTTTAAAAACCAAGGAACAACTACAGTGGACAACTATGACGAAAGGTTAATCGGTCTTTTTGCCAACTCCATTAACAGAACCTGTCTAGCAACTCTAGATCCATCTCCTTGACGCAATGTCTTGCAGACGCGCCATCTTTGTTTTGGAAGATAAACAGTCCCGCCGGCGCCGCCAAAGTTCTCGCGAGTTCTCGAATAGGTCCCCCTTGCGCTTTGGCAGGAAACTGCTGTGCGTCCCTAGGAATTCCAGACAAACGGTGCAGAAGCATACCAGCAAAACTGATTCGCGACCAGACCCAAGCGACATTTGATGTGTGTGGTTGCAGAAGTATAATCTGCCCTTTAGCCATCGCTCTTCTCAGACAGCGCTTAGGGGAAAACAGATACCCGCAACTAGTAGGTAGGCTTCTCCAAAGGGGACAACCCTGGAAACACTACCCCTAACTTCAAGACCTCTGCTCTAGAGGTGATTTTTAAGAAGCATGATTCAAATCTAAAAAAAAATGGATGAAAACCCAGAGCAAGATTGAACAAGAATTGCCTCACCCAGAGGCTTGTTAGATGGTTTAGGTTATTTTTATTTTTTTACCTCTCCTCTGAGATTAAGACTGTATTTTTGAAATTTATTCCACTGAAACCAAACCAGAGGATCTGTCGCTGTTTTATCTTTGGATCAGTGGCCTGTTTCATTATTGTAGTAGTCCTCGTAATGTTGGCAAACAAAGGGTGTTTGAACTCATACATGTCCCTTAATGGGCACTACAGTTAGTCAGCGATGGTTAGGTTAGGGTGTGAATCCTCTCAGACAATCAAGCCTGCTCAAAGCAGCAAGTGTTGTTTTGTATTTTTCTTTCAGAAAGACGAGAACCTTTCCAGTCCATTCCTTCCTTGTTTTAACTCTACTCGTTTAGGAACATCTTTCCAATGTAAAACCCACACCCACACACCCTCCTAATTGCGCTCGCTGAGCTCTCATGTCATTCTCCCCATCTTCTCTCCTGTTGCCTAATTTTTCCCCCATTCATGCAGAAATCCTTATTTTCACTTTCACTTTGTCTCTGCTCTCACACTCCTTCTACTTCTTCACCTCTCATTTTGCCGCCTGACCAGCTGGATGGAAAGAATCCCTTGTTTATCTCTCCCGCTGTCCGTCAAGGGCTTTTGCATTACTGGTGCTGTTGCCTAGCAACTCCAGCAGAAGCTGCTATTGGCTGCTTGTGAGGGAGAGAGAGAGAGAGATGGTGGCAAAGAGCAGCTTCTATTGGACTCGGCGGAAGACAGACACGTGTGCCGCTGTGCCAGCCTTTGTGTGACTCCAGGAGGAGTTTAGCAGACCCCCAGACAGACTAATGCACTCTGTCTTCTCTTCTTTACTTATAACAGATATTTTTATTAAAGGAACTGAAACATTACACGCATTAAAGCTCAGATATGGATGCCTGACTTGTTCTGTGGATCTGCTTTTAGGTTTCACAGCATGTATTTGTGGTGACAGTTGTCATCTTTTCTTTTAAGTTGATCATGCAGACTGGTAGCCATTAAAGAAAGGTAAATTCTAATGAGGATTTCAGTAGGAAGAGGATTTAGTGGATATATGTTGCTGTGGGGAGTAGTTCCTGAACATGTGCAGACAAGTCTGGACTCAGGTCCGTCTGGCTCTGTTCTGCCTCTTCCTGTCTGTCTTTTCCCTTGGATATTCCTTTTTCTACATTCCTTTAGATATCAGTTATGCTAATGTTGAGTCAGTCTCCTTCTGTTGAGGAAAAAAATATATTTCAATCATATTTATAATTAGTCACTATCAGAAATATCCAAGTTGTGAAAACTTTTCTTCTGTCTTATAATTAGATTTCAAACTAAATGATGAAATGACAGCAGGTCGAACCCCTTAGCAGGACAGCATACACAGAAAATGACCTGTGGAAAAATGCTGCTGAAAATATTTCATAGCATTTTTGATGCCATCAGGAAAAATTATGTGAAAAATATTTTTCACAGATGCTAGTTGAATACATGCTAACAGAATAAAAACAAAATACACATAATTTAGGGCTGCCTGGTGGAGCACTGTTGCCTTGCAGTAAAGTTAGCATGTTCTCCCTGAGCATGCGTGGGCTCTCTCTGGGTACTCCGGCTTCCTCCCACAGTCCAAAAACATGATTATAAGGTTAATTGGCTTTCTCTAAATAGGGGGCCATGTCCACCCCTACAAGTTAATGTTTTGTCCCATAATTCAACACCTAAACAAACAGTTTCCTTCTAAACCAGAGGATGGCAGCAGTGAGAGTTTCAAATGAACTGTTGTGATTGATTACATTGTAGTTGTTAGTGTATTAAGCCATCAAATATCAACAGTAATACAGTAATTAAACATCTACATCAACTTACTAACATTAAAGATGACAATTACAGAATGTATGCTCTTTTCAAAGCTAGTTTTATGGGGAGAAAGCAAAGATGTGTCTTTGCACCCTTCCTAGGAGTCAGGTATGTAATTAAAGATAAATAATAACTAAACCTGTTTAATGTTGTTTATTTATTGATAATAGACAGAACTATTATTAATTAAAGGTATAGTAAGACACTTCCAAGTAGGGCTCGGTGATAAAGAAAATCTAATATCACAATATATTTGGGCTATATCGCGATACACAATATATATATATCTCGATATGTTTAAATTACCTTCAAAAACAATGGATATACTCATTTAAACTTTTGGTTTGAAATTTAAAACATTTTATTTTAACCAGCTCAAAGCTTTTCTGCCACATGATGTCTTTTGGTGTCAGTATTAGACCTTTTGTAAGATCCCAGCAACCAAACAGGGAACCAAGCAAAAACACAGAATACTGACTAAAATGCTAATTAAAAAAAGGCCCTTTTGTGGATAATAATAATTTAAAAAAAATTAGAATGTAAAAGAAAAATTGACCTCAAATTACAAAATAAACGTGGAGATACTGTCCAACAATTAGAGCATTATAAAAGCATCTCCGACATATTTACATGCTGGGAATTTTAAAGAAGCACAAAAAGTTGTACAATTGTGAACATTGCCAAGTTTAGAAAACGCCTGCAAACCTCTGAACAATATCGCATCACATCACAGGTATTAGAGCATCTAAAAGACATTTAAATAACGTAATAAATAGCGTCTGTGAATTCCCTCCATCTCTTCCTTTTTCTCCCATATGGGCTCGCTTTTTCAAACGACGAGGCCATCGGCTTCACAGCTGGTTCATTTAACGTTTAAATTGGTGACGCAGAGTTTACAACATTCTTCATTTAGCAGCAGAGGGTGGTGGAATAAATTTGCACTGCTACCTTTTGCAGCAATAGTTTTTGAGGCACGTCTTACAAATTAGCGCCTTTTGTTCGACGTCCTCGCAATGAAATCCAAACCACCGCTCAGCTGAAACACCTGCTGTCAACAGATTTTGTTCGCCAGTTTCTGTAGTGTGCAAGAAAATAATCATGTCTAGAGGAGGGGTTTATGATGCTTTCAAAGTGTGTGGGAAAAATAAAACTCAGTGAAATAGATGCAGACGACTTAATGTAGTCATGCAAATTCGTACTCGATGGCGGAGATAGTAATTTTAACTATCGCCACGGGGGAAACTCAAGATACATCGAGTATATTCGATATATCGCCCACCCCTACTTCAAAGTCACTCTTTAGTGAGTGTTTCTCCTTCAGACCATCCCGCCTGGTCTTCTGCCATTGTGTGACCAAATCTGTCAAATATCCTCTGGACTGTTTTCTTTCTAGTGAGGCTGTCCTCTACTTGTAACAACGGAAGCTAACGGAAGCTAACTAGAAACATGGAGAGCACCATTCACAATGGTGCTAGGTGAGCATGTCACAAAGTCTGGCATGTGGAACAACCAACAGATAAAACACGGCGCACAATGGCCCCTACCTGGCCACCCCTATAAAAACCACTGCAACTTGGATGAATGCTTTGGACCAACTCTGGCTACTAATTTTAGCTTAAAAGCTGTGTTTTTATTTTTAGTTTTGTCTTTAGAAACAACCCCTGATGTGATGCTCTTGTGTTCCAGGTCAGAAGACGTGTCTCCACCTCCATGGCGTGTTCCCCTACATCTATGTGCCGTACGATGGCTGCACACAGCAGCCAGAGCGCTACATGCGGCAGGTGGCCTTCAGCATCGACAGGGCCCTCAACGTTGCCATGGGAAACCCCGCCGCCAGCACCCAGCATGTCTTCAAGGTGGTGCTGGTCTCTGGCATGTAGGTGTCTCTCATCAGCTGCTCTCAGCACCGACTGCAAACAGTTTCACTCCTATTCACCGTGTCTGTTTATTTTCCTCCCAGGCCTTTCTATGGTTTTCACGCCAAAGAGAAGCACTTTATGAAGATCTACTTGTACAATCCTCAGATAGTGAAAAGGTGAGGCTAACACTGATCAATGCAGACTAATGAAACTGGGGGTTTCTGTTGTCTAAAGCTATTAAATCCCTAACGACTCAGGCAGGACTCCGTCGGCTCCCTGAACTAAAATCCATTTCTGAGTGTCCGCAGGTGTGCATATGAAAGGAAATAATTACTTTGCTAACCAGAAATAAATAAGTGAAAAAAACTCAAGTTTTCTAACAAAATTTTACAATTTTGTTAGTCGATCATTGAAATCAATTTACATAATTCAAAGGAATTTGTTAATCGATAACTTTATGATGAACATTTATGGCTCTTTACACTACAGGTCCTGATATTTCCCACACAAACAAAGACATTGAAGGGAGCTGTTATTCCAATGCCTTTCAGGTTATCTAATGAGAAAAAGTTATTTCCAGACAGATCAGGCCTCCATGTCAGCTGGATTGGATCATCACCAGCTTTTTTTTTTTTTTTACACCTAATCATATTTCAGCATAATAGTGCCACCATGAACGCAGTATTTCTGGAACAAAAGGTCAAACTGATTTCATGAATAAGTTGAAGGTGTTTGTTTTAGATTAAGATGAGCAGGTCATTCAGCACCATTATCACCAGTATGAAGGTTGAATGTAAACATGGAGCCTGCGGTCTACCAGACATTATCACTACCCGATCCGTCCCGGAAGCACGATCCATCCTGCGCATGTATATACAACCGGGTGTCCATAAATAAAGTAATTATGGTACTAAAATTACTTATTTTTATCCTTAACTCACTAAAAAACACTAATACTCATCTTTAAATAATGTTTTATTACCTTTGTGAGACAATTTTGATGCTTTTTACATTTTCTTGGTTAAATTGTATCTCTGACGTCATCATGGGACATGCTCAGAGCAGCCCGGCTAAATCTGATTAAACCATGTTTATCTGCATTTTAGTTGTTTTTTTCTTTAAGTTACGCACTATATAGCATAATATTAACACAAAAAGAAAACATAAAACTCAAAAAGATTAGATTTATGTTAAAATCCAAAGTTAAAAAAAATTAGGCACCGGAAGTAGCGTAGGAGATCGGGCAGCACAGAGTGATTAAAGAAATGATTTTAAGGCATTTATTTTCTCAGGAAATACATTATTAACCTTTAACACATTATAGTTTAGTACGTTTACAAAATATGAGAAGGGAAAAACATTATTTAACATTATTTGCACACGATTTTGTTTTTAACAAAATAAAATCGTGTGCGACCTGGATGTATATCTGGGTGCACAAATGAGCTGATGGCGGATGCGCAGAATGGACATAGCTAAATTATAGTGAAGCAAATATTTAGCACCCTACTATTTTGCGACTTCTCCCACTTAGAAATCATGGAGGGCTCTGAAATTGTCATTGTAGGTGTATCTCCACTGTGAGAGACATGATCTAAACAAAAATTCAGAAATCACACTACTTATTTATATGATCCAGCTGCAAATAAGTATTTGAACATCAGTTTATCAGTTAGAATTCTGACCCTCAAAGACCTGTTACTCTGTCTTCAAAATGTCCACTTCCATTTATTATCCATAATTAGATGCACCTGTTTGAGGTCGTTGGCTGCATAAACATACCTGTCCACCCCATACAAACAGTAAGAATCCAACTACTAACATGGCCAAGACCAAAGAGCTGGCCAAAGATACTACGTAGACACAGAACTGTAGACCTCCACAAGGCTGGAAAGGGCTACAGGGAAATTACCAAGCAGCTTGGTGAAAAAAGGTCGACTGTTGGAGCAATCATTAGAAAAAGGAAGAAGCTAAACATTACTGTCAATCTCTCTCAGACTGAGGCTCCATGCAAGAACTCCCCTGGTGGGGTCTCAGTGATCCTAAGAAAGGTGAGAAATCAGCCCAGAGCTGGTCAAAGATGAAAAGAGCTTGGACCACCGTTTCCATGGTTACTGTTGGTAATACACTAATACCCTCATGGTTTGAAATCATTCATGGCACAGGAAGGTTCCCTTGCTTAAACTAGGTATGTCCTCAATTTGCCAATAACCATCTGGATGATCCAGAGGAGTCATGGGGGAACGTCATGTGGCCAGATGAGACCAAAATAGAACTTTTTGGTCAGAATTCCACTAACCCTGTTTGGAGGAAGAAGAATGATCAGTACCATCCCAAAAACACTATCCCTACTGTGGTAGCATCATGCTTGGAGGGTGTTTTTATGCACATGGGACAGATGGACTGCACTGTATTAAGGAGAGGATGACCGGGGCCAAGTATAGCCAGATTCTGGGGAACAACCTCCTTCCCTCAGTTACACTGCAAAAAATGTAAATCTAAATAAGTTATTTTTTCTTAGAATAGGTGCATTTTGTCTTGAATTGAGGAGGTACTTTGCCAATGGAACAAGACAATTTACATTAAAAGGGGTCATAGAATGATTCTATAGGGTACTTGCTGCTTGTCCTAAAGGTCTCTGAATGGGGTGTGTAACATTAGTTGGGCTGAAAATGGCAAGCCCTAGAATGTAACGACAGGTTTTCTTCCTTTTATGGTATAATCAGGAATATTTAGATGAGCTGTGCGCTGATTGGTTGGTTTACAACGAGCGAAGCTGCTGAGCAAAGACTCATCATAGCAACAAGCACTCACTCACTGAAACATCAAATTGTTGATATGGTAAGGTGACTAGACGTCCTCTTTTTCCTGGACATGTCTTACTTTTCATAGCTTAAAAAATGTGCGGGGGAATTTCTAAATATTCTGGGATTTTGGTCGACTACAGTGCAGCCACCGTGAGATGTCTGTTACCGGCCCCGCCTGAGGACCGGCGGCTCATGGCTCTCTGCTGAGGTCTGGTCGAGTCAGTGGCCCAGCAGTCAACACCAGCGAGCTGGTCTGCATGTCAATTTCAGTGCATGACAAAAGTACGGGCCAGAAATAAGGCAACATTCCAGAGTTTACGTCTTCGTATGAATTCGCCTGTTTTATGGTGGAAGTTTAGAAGTGTGAGATTTGCAGAGAAAGGAGGTGTCGCCCACTTAACTATCGTTATTCGTTATCGTTATTATTAATTTAATGGGAAACACATCAATCTCCTTTGGCAGTTCATCACTGGCCGCTCTGGCCCACATTAACTTAAGTTAATAAACCAGCATCTAAAATAAACACAGGCAGCCAGTTGTTGTCATTGCAGCACGGAAGCTCATCCATCATCCGTTTAGTCTCACCAGATCTTCAGATCCATCTTCAACATGTTAAACCGACACCTTTTTCAAGGACTTAGTCATTGTTTTCTATCAAGGACGTTTCAAAAAGCCTAATTTCTGTTTTGGGATTGATAGAAGGAGATTAAATATTTCCCACACTGCTAAATAAATAATTTCTCTTCTTTTTTTCCCAGAGTGTGTGAGCTTTTACAGAGTGGAGCAGTGATGAACAAGAGCTACCAGCCTCACGAGGGCCACATCCCCTACCTCCTGCAGCTCTTCATGGATTATAACCTGTATGGCATGAACCTGATTAACATGGGAGCTGTGAAGTTCCGCAGGAGCCATAACAAAGGTTAGAGCATCTCACTTTATATCGAATTATATTGAAACACCCAAATTTTAAACCTTATCCATTTAATCCTAGAATCGGCCAATAATCAGCAATACTTGCCAGAGATCCTGAGGTGATATTGCTTTTTATTCATAGGTTTATAGAATAACGATTACACAATAATGACAAATGCTACACAGTGGTCTTTATTTAAACAAAAAAAGGGCAACGCATTCAATAAAACAGGCCGATATCGGCCAAAATCTCCTCTACAGGTGGTGAGTTTAATGACTTAGACAGATTTATTTTGTCATTTTGTTTACCCAGGTGCAGTGCTGGGTATTTTCGCCAAAGTCCTGAATCGATTCGATTTGTTTTTACTATAATGAAAGTGGTTCAACTGTTTACTTTTTCCTGTCACATTAAACACAAAGTGCAAACTTGTAAATCAGACAGTTTAAACTTGAGATGTGAACAAAACTGTCTCAGAAGTGCAAACTTGTTTGTGAAAAAGTGAAGCCTCACTCGAGCAAGCAGACATGCATGAGCTGCATTATCTCCACTGCACAATCCATATTTGCAGGGTTCTCTGTAACAACTACAGGGTGTTTGCTGGTCAGCCCCCATTTGTCAACCTATTGGCCATATTTGCAGCTGTCTGGCTTGAAGTCATCGTGGTGGTCTGTAGCACGAGATGCGACGCGCCACTAATCATCAGTGTAGAGGGAAGCCACCTTAATGTCACATATCCAGCACATTATCTTTAATCGTTTTAAACCCAACATGGTTCCAGATATCAGACTTCAGTCGGGACAGCTTGCTGAGCGGTGTGTTACTTGGGTCGGCATTTGAATGTGAACGTGCGTCACTATAAAACTAATCGATCTCATTCCCTAAACATCGATTTTGCAAAAATGTAAAGGAATCGATCCAAAATCGATTAAATCAATTTTTTTATCCAGCCCTCCCCAAGTGTAAACAATATAAAAATTTGTTAAGAACAGGTGGGCTCTCCTCATCCTCCCCAAGACGTCCAAGCGCTTCTGTGCCCTTTTGACCAGTGAGGTGGTGTTTCCAGTCCAGGTGAGGGTGTCTCTGATGTGCACCCCCAGGAATTTGGTGCTGTTGATCACCTCTACAGCTGAGCTGTTGATGAGCAGTGGAGCGTGGTTAGGACGGTTCTTCCTGAAGTCCAAGATGATCTCCTTGGTCTCCGTTCAGGATCAGGCTGTTATCTCTGCACCACCAGCTGCTCCACCTTCTCTCTGTAGTCCTGGTTGTTATCGTCTCTGATGAGGCCCACCACTGTGGTGTCATCTGCAAACTTCACCATGTGATTGGTGGTGAACCTGGGGACACAGTAATTTGTCATCAGGGTGAACAGCAGGGGGCTCAGGACGCAGCCCTGAGGGGAGCTTGTGCTTAGGATGATGACATCAGAGGTGTTCTGTCCGACCCGGACTGACTGAGGTCTGTTGGTGAGGAAGTCTAGCAGCCAATAGCAGAGGGGTGTATTGAATCCCAGCTGTTCCAGTTTGCCCATCAGATGCTGTGGGATGATGGTGTTGAAAGCTGAACTGAAGTCCAGGAACAGCATCCGCGCGTCCGTGTTTTCTTCACCTCCAGGTGTGCCAGGCTCAGTTGGAGAGCAGCAGAGACGGCGTCCTCAGTGGAGCAGTTCTGTCGGTAGGCGAACTGGAACGGGTGGAATGTTGGCGGCAGACTGGAGACGATGTGTTCTTTACCCATCCTTTGGAAGCACTTCATCATGATTGGAATCAGTGCGACAGGCCGGTAATCATTGAGTGAGGTGACCTGAGGCTTCTTTGGTACCGGAATAATGGAGGCAGACTTGAAGCATGCTGGCACTATGGATTGATCCAGCGAGCTGTTAAAAAGTTGTTGTTGTAGTCTGTGATCATCTGAATGCCTTTCCACATCCTCCTGGTGTTGCTGTTGTTGTGGAAAAGATCCTGGATCTAATTTAATCTGTGTTGGTCTTTGTTAAAGTCGTAGAGAGGTCATATTTAAATGTCAAATCATTCTGGCTTAAACATGTATATAGATGTACTCTTTATCAGACAATATTTCCCAAAAATTCAGAAAATTTCTATTAAAAAAAAGATCCTGTCTTAAAATCTGTGGGTTGTTTTCATTATCTTCTGCAGGTCAGTTAGTTATATATCAGCCTGAACACCTAAATTCAGCCAATCATATATCAACGGTCATCTGTCAATCACATTTTTTCACTCATAGCATCTTGATTCATATGTTGCAGCTAATATACGCAACGATTGAAATCAGAATCCTTTCCTTTCCCATTGAGTTCCGTCCCAGTGTTCACGGGGATGGACGTCTGTGTCTTCAGCAGGCGTAGAGCTAACAGAACTGGCAGCGTTGCGAGGCAAGGGCTCAAACATGTACGGCTGGAAGCCTTCTACACCAAACCAAGCTTCTGCCGCCCTGGCGTCCTCTTCCACAACATCTTCGTCCCCGCTTTCCTCCTCTAAATAAAATGTATGACAGAGGAGACTCCTCCACGACCTCCGACACTAAACTCTCCTCCTCTTGCATGTTTCCTCTGTCCATAGCGTTCCTTGACAGTGTCGTTTCTAAAGGCTGAAACCGGGTCGTCTGCATGCGTGTCGCAGTTTACGCAGATATTCACATATAGATATATGTGAGTCAGGACATAGTCTATATACTAAACTGAACAATACTTTTAAAAAAAACACTTTAGATTTAAAATAGAATTTTTTTTTTATTGAAAATTCAATGTATGAATAGTGGATGAATAAAAACCTCATTTTATTTCAGTGTTAAATTCTGTTTAAAGTAAAGGATTATAATTGAAAATGTCTTTGGACCTTTACTGGTTGATGAGTTTCTGTATTCAGGCACCGCTGATTGTTAATTGGTTACCCCTGCTATAGGTCATCGCATTAGACCCACCTCCCAACCCAACTTTGAGAATAGATTAAGGGCGATATTTTGTTTGCCGCCTGATAAGCATCATTAACGCAGCATGTTAACGTCGATAAAGGCTCACCGCTAAAAAAAAAAGATTCTTTCTTTGTTTAATCGCAGATAAATCTGATATAGTAACAGTTGAGCAATGGTTTTTAATTTAGCGTTTCCTTTGGACCTGATGGTTGTGCAGTTTTTCCTGAAGTTTCCTCTGAAACCATCCGGGCTGAACAGGTTGAAGCTTTTCAGATGCTTTATTGGATAAATCTCCTAACCAGCTTCCTGCACGGAGATTAAACCCCTGAAGCCCAGTTTGTTTGATCAACTTTATCTCTCTCCAACTCTTGTCATTTAATGGAGCTCTGACCCAGTGCTGCAGACTTTTAATAAAAGCAGGTTCTAATGATCCGTCCACTGCTATGCAATTGAAATCAATAGGATGACTCTAATGCTCTATGCAACAAAGACCCTAACACCCAAATATTGGCTCCACCTGCTCCGCCCCTGCTACAGCGTGAACGTTGGAGCAACTTGTTAATCTAGGATCAAGGGGATTAAAGGCAGAGTCGGTTTCAGACTGAAATCTTTAATGTGTTCTGGACTTCATTTTAGACATTCCACTAAAAAATGTTCATAGAGCACATTCTGTGTGAATTTGTATATGAGGGTATTAGATGTGACCACAAAAGCAGAAATATTCCACCTTATTGTATGAATGTTTCAGACTGGACGTGTGTCTCTGTTCCAGACGGAGCAGCTCCAGAGGCGGATCCATCATCTTCCAGCTCTCATCCCAGCATCAGTCCCTGGAAGATCCCCTGTTCCACCAGGCTGAACGACAGCAGCCTCGCAGGCACCTTCGTCCGCTGGGAGGAGAGCGCTCTACCCTGGTAGGTTCCCCCCCTCTGCTCAGACCTCCGTCTGAGTTGGACCCCTGCTGGCTAATGAGGTAATAACAGTGATGTGCTTGCAGCTCTTTAGTCCTGGAGAACGTGGAGAGGCAGAGCACCTGTGAGCTGGAGGTGGATGCTGTGGCTGTCGACATCCTTAACCGCCTCGACATTGAAAGTAGGTGCAGTGAGATGTTTTTCCTCCTCAGGTTTGGTCACAGAGTAGAGATTAGCGGAGATGAGGGAGTTGATCGGAGGGTGAATGTTACAAACCCCCTGAAGACCACTAATGGTCAATTCTGGCACACAAACACAGAAGTAATCTACATAAACAGATGAGGTCAGTAGCAAAATACAATTTATTTTACAATTAGCAGGGGTTCAATTACAAGAGACAACAAAACACAGGGAAGCTTTAAACCTCAGGGTCTCCACTGCCAAAGCAACAAACAAAACACACCGTTATTTAGTTATAAAAATAAAACATTTTCTAAAGGAGAACTGAAAAGAAAGCTCTGGTGCTGCGGGAATCGAAAAAAGAATCGTTCAGCGAGCTGCCAAACGATGCCATGGAATCGGAAAATACGGAACCGGTTCTTAATAGGAACCGGTTTTCGATTCCCATCCCTACTCGCAGCCTTGCTTTGAACGGCCGGTTCACACCGATGTAGAGCGGTGGAAGTTCCTTTGTCAGACCTCCCGGGATAACAGTGAGAACAGCGTTCATTTGTTTCACCATGTTTTTCACATCGGCTGTGAGATGGGCATGCATGGAGTCCCAGATTAACAGCGATGGTGATGCGTGAAAAAAACCACCTGGTCTCCTCACATACACCTGCCTCAGCCACGCTTTCATCATCTCCTCATCCATCCAGCCCTTTTCAATTGCCTTAATAACGACTCCAGCTGGAAAAGTCTCTTTAGGCAAAGTCTTTCGCTTAAAAATCACCATAGGTTCATATACACAATCCACGCCCACACTTCCCCCTTTAGCGTTCTCATGGCGGTCTCAACAACATCCGCAGTAACAACACACATAGGGCGCACCGCACATTTTGAGGGGAAAAAAAGACGTTTATATGCGCCTTATAGTGTTGAAAATAGGGTACAATACCTGAACTCCCTGGCTAACCAAAAGACAAGGAGAAAACAGTTTAACTAAAATGGCAGAGAACCTCTACCAGCTTCCACTGTGAGCAGAAAACACTTTAGTTAGATAATTATTCCCATAATGATACTCTCAATTAGGGCTGCAACTAACGATTATTTTAAAAATCGATGAATCGGCCGATTATTTTTTCGATTAATCGATGAATCGGACAAAAAAAAAAAATTTATATTAACCTCTTTATTCCAAAATAAACATTTTAGACAGAACAAACAAGCACACAAGTACAGGTTGCTCATTAACTGTACTGGTGCAATATGAAAAATAAATGTTTGTGTAAAAACTACGCAAACTTACATGAGAAATGTAGCTGTACATCCACAAAATATAGGCTACTTTGGTTCATAAAGCGCAAAAAGAGACAGGCATTTTTGTTTTTTAAAGCCCCTAAGGGGTTCAACAATAGGTCCCCCCATTTCAAGAAATGAGTTTTTTTTAGACTAGAAGAGTTCTGCCTTTTAAGACAGGAAAGTACAGCAGTTAAAGTTGCTGCTTGAGAAAATACTGAACCATAGAGATAAAAATAGCCCTGTGATTCAAATTATAAATTGTATTTGGAATAAAAATAAGAGAACTAGGGGTGGTAAAAAAACACATCCTCCAAAGACAGATATTTACATGGGAATGTGGCAGATAATTAATTGACATATTACTGATCTTGCTGGATTTTGTTCTGCTTTACTTCCATAAATTGCAGGATCTTCTTTTCTTTATCTTTGTTAGAAGATTTAAACTTTAAAAGCCTTGCCCTCATAATTTGCAAGTTAATTTATTTATAAAGAAAATATAAACGCTGCTTAAACAAATGTAAATGAAATTAAAAGTAAAATAAGTAGCCAACCTTATCACTGTCTGTAACCTACTAACAAGGTAAGGAAAGCATCAGATGAGCTACCTGAGAAACTAACGTTACGTTTCCCCTCTTTAAAATGAAACAAACATGGTTACTCATCCTGCTGATCAGCTCTCTTCACTGCCATCGAAGGCTCCAAAGTGTTTTCTTTTCAGGTGCTGCGTCATAACAGTGGTGCTTCCGTGCCATGTTAATTTCTTTTGAAAAAAGTTGCATGTTACGACTTTTTTCACTTTACAAAGCGCAGGCTATTTTAATTATTGTGATCAATTTGCGCCGTCAATCCCGGCGCATGCGCGCTTCATTTGCAGTCTGGACGCTGAGGGTAAACTCCTCACTAAAATCCTGCGGCTCTGACTGCCGCGCTGAGAGGGATTCCTGTGGGAGAGGGAGAAAGGCGTTGGGATGGGGGAGGCGCCCCACGGCAGGCAAAAGCCGCCAGTGACACCGTAAAAAGTCGCCAGATTTGTCGCTAGTCGCTTTTTTGAAAAATAGTCGCTGGAGGGGTCTGAAAAGTCGCTGAGTTGGCAACACTGCAACTGCGGCGCTGACTCGCTCCGCCATATTTTTTTTTCTTCCCCCGGATGACGGCGGCGGCGGATGACGCATTAATCGCGCGACACAACTAATCGATGATTAAATTAGTTGCCAACGCTTTTAAAAGTCGATTTTTATCGATTTTATCGATTCGTTGTTGCAGCCCTACTCTCAATATATGCTCACAGACAAGATCACTTCAGATTAAGGCCTAGGGAATAAGAGAAAGAGAAAGGGCCTGACATCTCAGGTTTGAAGCTCTTTAGGGGGCTGCTGACGAGTTCCAACACCTTGCACCTGCAGCATCCAGGTAGACCTGCAACACAAAGAGAGAGCTCTCTCCTGAAGAGAGCCCCTAGAGGTCAGTGACTGTAGCAGTGAACTCCAATAAACAGATGTTATCTGACAACATCTTTGGCTTCCAGAGGGGATGAAGTGGTCTCTGATCTCTCCTAACGCCCCCACATGTCGCTCTGGCCCTCTGCTTTGTCATCAGGATGCCAGAGATCCACCTCTTTACTGCCTGATTGATTGCCCTCCTGCAGCGTGAGTTTGCACTAATCAAACAGGGATCACTGCTGGAATCACCAGCAGGATCTCTGGGTAGCAACCAAACTCCAGATTATTCCAGCATACTGGAAGCTTTCCAGAATACTTATTTCTTCATTTCTACACCCCAGTCGTTCTGAATTCATCAATTTTTTCACAAATTAGATCCCCCCCTGAGAACTCAGTGCATCAAGATATATAACAGACACAAGATATAGTATTGTTTAACTGTAAAAACAATCTAGAAATAAGTCAGTATTTCTTAAATTAAGTGTAGTTGCCCTTAATTTGAGTAGATAAATTAGACGATCTTTTTTCTTTTTTTATTGGTCAATTTAATATCTAAATTATGTTATTAGTTATAATCAACAGTCTTGAAAGTTCAAAGATACAAAACAAATATAAAATGTTGTCTGATTTCACTTTTAGGTTGAATTTCTGACGTGAAGGTTTAAAATGAGGCTCCTTTTATCGTACAGAGGAATTAAAAAAAGACGGCACTGGCTTGGGGGGGTGCTCTCAGGAGGGGTGTGTTTAAAGATGAGGAGGGTTTGCTAGCTAACCTTTTTGTTTTTTGTTTTCTTGTTTTTTTTTTAGATCAGATTGGAAGGAACCCCGGACTGCAGGCTATTTGGGAGGATGAGAAGCAGAGGAGGAGGGAGAACAATCAGTCCTCCCAGATAGAAGCTCCTCAATCACAGGGTGAGGAGGAAGAACTGTTTAAGAACAGTTCTTAGGTCTGATTAAAGAACACGACTCTGTTTTATTATCAACATTCAGGCAGGTTCACCTGCAGGTTGTCCTGGAAGAACAATTAGAAGGAATGGTAACAACTGAGGGACTCATAAAGCCGGGCGTACACTGTACCATTTTTCACCCTTTTGGCCCGATTTTTTTTCAGTCGTGCGAGAATTTTTCGATCGGCCCGGCTTTCAGATTGATCGTGCGTTGTGTAGTGTACAGGGGGTAACGAGGGGCGATCAGCCTCTCACCATCACCTCACCGATCAGGAATAGGGGTGTAAATCACACCCATCATGGCGATTCGATTCAGTATCGATTTCCTGACCCAACGATTCGATTATTTTCGATACTCAAGAATACACCACGATACGATTCGATTCATTTTTTGTTTGTTTTTTTGTTTGTTTTTTTAACACCTTACAGGCTGGACAATGTTTCAGATTTGAAATAAATCAATGAAAGCTGTAATATCGTTATGCATTTTATTTGAGAAACAACAGGAAATAACACAAGTAGAAAAGTTGCACTCCATCTATTCCTATTAAAACCTCATTCACTGAAAAATAATAATCCCCCTGCGTTATAGATTCTGAAAGGCCTTGCATCAAAAAACACTGCACAAAATCAGTGCAATGAGTGCAATGCAATACCTCGGCTCCAGACGTCCCGCCCCCTCCACAGACGCTCCGCTGCTCCTCTTTTAAATTGTAGCTGACCGCAAACAGTGCTGCAGACAGGAGGCCGGCTTGTTTTGTTTTCATGACCGAAATTGCAGAAAACAACTCGTGAAGTTCGACCCGCTAGAAGAGCGAGGTGCGCGAGAACGCTGGGACCCTTTTTCCAGCTGGATCTCCGCTCTTTTTGGCCCTCATGTCCCTCCGTCGTCGGACTAAACTCGCCCCCACTACCTCACCGCCTCGGCCGTATCTAGACCCACAGTGTGTAGCCCAGACCACGCTGCAATATTGAGCATAATTTAAAAATGTCTGTGTCAAGCTCACTGCAACACACTGCTGTAAGAGTATAACCAGGAAGCACGGTAGGAGGGCAAAATAGGTTTAGCGCCACCGCAGCACAGGAGGGAGAATTACGCCCAGGAGCAAATGGATAAAAATAGACCGGAGGAAAAAAAAAACATGAATCGATTCTTTTGCGGACGTGTCGATGCATCGGATCGTCGACTGTTGGATCGATGCATCGATACAAAACGATTATTATTTACACCCCTAATCAGGAATCGTGAGGTCAGGAGAAAACCAAATATGTCTGAAATTCAGTCGACTGTCGTAAGGTGGTAGTGGGCAAACAAGGATTCTCAGATAAAACTAGGGGTGTAAATAATAATCGTTTTGTATCGATGCATCGATCCAAAAGCCGACGATCCGATGCATCGACACGTCCGCAAGAGAATCGATTCATGTTTTTTTTTTCCTCCGGTCTATTTTTATCCAGTTGCTCCTGGGCGTAATTCTCCCTCCTGTGCTGCGGTGGCGCTAAACCTATTTTGCCCTCCTACCGTGCTTCCTGGTTATACTCTTACAGCAGTGTGTTGCAGTGAGCTTGACACAGACATTTTTAAATTATGCTCAATATTGCAGCGTGGTCTGGGCTACACACTGTGGGTCTAGATACGGCCGAGGCGGTGAGGTAGTGGGGGCGAGTTTAGTCCGACGACGGAGGGACATGAGGGCCAAAAAGAGCGGAGATCCAGCTGGAAAAAGGGTCCCAGCGTTCTCGCGCACCTCGCTCTTCTAGCGGGTCAAACTTCACGAGTTGTTTTCCGCAATTTCAGTCATAAAAACAAAACTAGCCGGCCTCCTGTCTGCAGCACTGTTTGCGGTCAGCTACAATCGGGGAGAGGTGCAGCGGAGCGTCTCTCAAGGGAGCGGTGACGTCGACACTCTGAAGCCTTCTTCTTTTTTTTTAATGGCGGTTGGCAAACAACTTATAGGTGCATTACCGCCACCTTCCAGAATGGAGTATGGACCAGAAAAACTATTATATTCTCCCTAAAATACCCGTTCTTCTTAGAAAATTAAAAATACTACCAAAGACTACATCCCCAGATGACGTTTGAAACAATTCCCTTATATCTAGTTTATTTTTATTCCTGTCTAACTCTCTATGCAACATCTCTCTTTCCTGAGTATATTTATTACATTCTAAAAAAATATGTTGGACAGTTTCTCTGGAGCCGAGGTATTGCATTGAACTCATTACACGGATATTGTGCAGTATTTTTGCAGTATTTTTTGATGCAACTTCTCTACTTCTGTTATTTGCTGTTGTTTCTAAAGAAAATGCATAATGATATTACAGCTTTCATTGATTTATTTCAAACTTGAAACTTTGTTTAGCCTGTAAGGTGTAAAAAAAAATAATAATAAAAAAAAATAAAATTACCGATTAATCGAATCGAATCGAATCGTGGTGTATTCTTGAGTATCGAAAATAATCGAATCGTTGGGTCAGGAAATCGATACTGAATCGAATCGCCATGATGGGTGTGATTTACACCCCTAGATAAAACCATAGAAGCATGGGGGGATGCAGTAAATTTGAGTTCTTTCTGTAAAACTGACAGACCGTAGTAGCCATGTTTGTTCAGCCATGTCTTTTTCTAAATACGTCGTCTCCTTTACTTTTTAGGGCTTTCAGCACAAAATTGCACAAATTGCAAAAGGCAGCGCGTTTCACTCTAGTGAGCTTCATGTTCCTCTTCTACTGGTTTGGTTTCTGGATAGACGAGTCAGAGTAACGCCATCTCACTGTGGAGCTGAGGACAATGTGGTATTTTAGACGTACAGTGTGAGCAGGTAGATGCCATTTTTTGGCCCTGATACCTGGCTGTGCAGTATCAGCCGATACCATATGTGTGTATATATGAAGAACTGCATACTGCTTGGATGTAAAATAATTGCCATCATGGTTTGTCAAGCTGCTGCCTTCCTTTGTGAAGCAGGAAAAAGACTAATACAAAGTGAATCCAGTAGAACTTTTTATTCCCTACCTGGAATGGATGACAATAGTTGAATAAACTTTTGGCTCTCAAAATGGTATTGTGCCCTATTTGTTGGTGCTCGCTGATACTGATAACAGCATTTTAGTGCTGGATCGGGGCCCCGCCCGATAGTGGTATCGGTATTGGTGCAGCACTATAGATCGCATCAGAGCGTTGGTTCGAACAGTTTTAGAACATACATCGTGAGCTGTGAACCTTGCGGTTTCATCGTATAGTGTGAGCTGTAGCTGCGTGCAACAATTAAAAAAAATCACACAGTGTATGCCCGGCTTTAGAAGTAAAACTTAACTAAATTAGAAACATGATCAAAGAAAAACAAACAAACCTAAATTTGCTGAAAGACTGATTGGCAATAGCGGCTGGCTAGCCCCAGTGGTCTGCAAACAGACAGCCGGGGTTCTTATCCCAGCTGGGGGGATGAGCTGCCAGGGTGGGTCCTTAGGGAAGAGCCTTCATGCTTTGGGGAGTGGCAGCCTAGTGTTTAGGGCATTGCGCTTGTGCTCTGAGTTCCCACTCCCACAGACTGCCGCTCTGGGTCCTTGAGCAAGACCCTTAACCCCCGATTGCTCAATGGGCGCCGCACAATGGAAGCCCACTGCTCCCCAAGGGGATGGATTAATGCTTTGTTGTTTTGTTTCTTGTTACTCTGCATTTAACCCATCCCCCCTTCATTTCGTTGCTCTGAACTTGTTACAGTGTGATGACAATAAAAAGCTGGGTAGAAGAAGAGAAAAGGATCTTTGGCTGAAATTAACAGCACCTTGTTGGTAAAACACTAACATTCTACCCAGCATAGTGGTGGAGGAGTGATGATATGGGCTTGTTTTCCAACAAAAAACAGCTTACCAACATCAGAAAAAACCCATAATAGTGACAGAAATAAAGAGAGGTTTGTAAACATCTAGTCAAAGTCCAGACCCCAGCCTTCAGGCAGGACGATAAGAGAACTGTGCAGAAAGAAGGCCTGAAAAAAAAATGTATTTTTTGTTCCGTGTTGTTTGTTGGAAAGATCGTGATACAGACAAACCTCTTGGCTTTATTAAAGGTATTGTCGAGGATTTCCGCAATTTTTTTAAAAGACACGCCCTCTCCACTTTAAAAAAAATGCACGTGCACAACCCTGTACCCGCTTCCTATAGTGAACACCTATTAAACGTGTGCGAGAGCATGCACCATTTCTCCTGGTGCACGCTCTCTTTTAAAGTTGCTGTTTGTATCGCTCATACAAGATAACTTTACAAAAAAAGGTTTGCAATTTTTCCACTATGTCAGACTCAGCACCGGTAAGTGGAAATGTGGCCGAGCGCGTAGGACGGCCTGATGTAAACATGACAATTAGGAGGACTTATTTTTGATGATTTTATCTTGAGACTGATTTAAGGAACATCTTCCACTTCACCTTTAAGGCTTTAACTGTCACAGACTGTATTGATGTATTAGCACCGTTTGGTTTAACAATAAAAGAGAAAATAACTGAATTCCTGCGGAGAAGTAAAATAAAATCTCCTCTGTCTCTGTTCCAGAGCGTAGCTCCGTCACGTTAACGGACAGCGAGCAAACCTTCCTGAAGAGACTGAAGGACATCCTGAGGGAGAACAAGTTTGATTTGTAAGTTTCTGCCTTTGTCTGTGGTCTAAAGAGATGGTTGAAACTTTGCTCCATTTCCCTAAGGACATCTGGAGAGGAAGGCTGACAGTATTAGAGCAAGATGCTCCTGATCATAGAGAGAAACTTCCCACCAAACACCAAATGTCCCTTTCTGCTGCCAGCTTTCCTCTGAGTGCAGCGGAGGTGGAGCTGGAGGGAAGGAAAACTAGGGAAAGTGAAGTCGGAGCAGATGTTGGAGAAAAGGGGCGTGCTGAGGTCATCCACAGACGCCTTCTTCCTCTACAGCCTCACAGCGTTTCCTCTTATAAATGAAAGTAAAGTCGGCTCTGCATCTGCACACTGCTTATCGGATCCAGATGGCTTCCATGGACTAACCTCGGATCCCTGATCGCAGCGCAGCGCTCTGTGCTGACTGAAGTTAGGAAGCGGAGCAGGGACATGCTTAGTGTTCACAGACTCCTACATTCTCCTAAAGCCGCTTTTATTCTGAGAGAAATTATTTGTTTAGTTTTTTGTTTGTTTGTCGGATCCAGACATGATGCAGTTTCACATTTATAGCTACAGGGAAGAAACTAAGTATTTGCTAGTTTGCAAGTTCTCACCACTTAGAAATCATGGAGGCTCTGTCATTGTTATCGTAGGTCCATGTCCACTGAGAGACATAATCTGAGATAAAAAATCCAGAAATCACAATATATGATTTTTTTATAACTATTTATTTGTACAATATAGCTGCAAATAAATATTTGAACACCTGAGAAAATCAATGTTAATATTTGGTAAAGCAGCCTTTGTTTGCAATTCCAGATTTTTTTCCAGTGTGTGGTTTACACTCCAAAAAATGATGCTTCTTAGAGTTAAATAAGATTTTTTTCTCTTAAAATAAGATGAATAGATGTTATGCCATTGGAATTAGATAATATAGTTGTTTTTTTATCTCACATAAAACAGAAATCCTCTTAATCTATTGGTAAATTTTCTAACTTACTTCCTCAAAAAAAGGGAAATTATGCTTATTTGCAGAACAAATCAATTACTTAGATTCCATGTTCTGCTGTTTTAGTTGTGTAGCAATCACAATGTTCAGGTGTTTAACACCAAAACACTTTGAAAAGCATCCACCGTCAAGCATGTGGGAGGTAGAATGTGCTTCTAAGACGCGATGCCATTCAGGTTGGTCCACTTCTGGTGCAGAAGCTAAAATAAAGAGAGTAGTAAACGTTTCAGAGGAAAAACCTTCTTTTTCTGTAAATATTAACGAAAAACTCCTCAAATGGGTTAATAGCTTCAGCCTGGTTCAAGTGTTAAATAGGGATGCACGATATAATCGGCCCCCTATCGGTATCGGCCTGTATCGGCCTTAAAACTGAATATCGGACATCGGCCACCCCACCGATATTTAACCCGATATTTGATCAGCTTCTGAGTTTCTAAAGTCTAAAAAAAAAAAAAAAAAAAGTACTACTTCTTCTTCTTCCTCAAAAACTTCTTTTTTACAGACTTAAAAACTTCTAAAGACGGATAAAATATTGATACATTAAAATATCCCAATATCTTCATATGCTGATATATTGCCATTTAAAAACACCATATCAATCTCTTTTACTAATGAAATATTGCTATATGTCATCGTTATGCTACGACATCCCCCGAAAATTCACGAAATTTAGCCATATTTTTATATGTTGATATATTGACGCGGTATCGATCTATTTTACTAACAAAATCTCACAAGAATTTGCAAAATATCACGAGAGTTTGTAACAGAACGATGAAATTTCATGAGATTTTGAAAGTAAAATAGATCGATACCGCGTTTTTAAAAATCTATTTGATATCAGCATATGAAAATATATTGGAGTATATTATTTTTCAAAGTGTCAGAAATGGATAACAAAACTGCTATTTTCAATGACTACTTATTTTTGTCCAGCTTTAACATCGGTATCGATATCGGTTATCGGCTACATGAGTTTTAAAATATCGGCATATCGGATATCGGCCAAAATCCCAATATCGTGCATCCCTAGTGCTAAATGACATCAAACTAAAATCAGTAAGTAAAATAAGTAAAAATGTTTTAAATTAAGTGTATTTACCCTTAATTTGAGTAGTCAAATGAGATAGTTTGTCTATGGAATGAGCATTTTTAATCTTAAAACAAGATAATTAGATAAAATGCACTTGAAATTGGACAATGCAATTGTGTTTTCTTATTCTAAATGTAAATCGTCTTGTTCCATTGGCTAAATGTCTCTTTTACCTCCTCAATCCAAGAACAAATATTTTAAGAAAAAATGACTTATCTAGATTTAGATTTCTTCCAGTGAAGCATCAGTTAAGCTGCTCTGCTCAGGCGCATCAGGAGCAGTGATGATACCGCCCACCCCCCCAAAAAACTGAATAAATAAAAAGAAACCAGAAAAAGAAAGAAGGTTTTCAGTTGCATGAGATCATCATCATAATGTCTGCTAGGAAGTTTGTTGGTGGTGGGCGTGAACGCAGGGAGGATCCATCACCATCACCTTCTGGCTCACCCTATGATGGGGATGAAGTCTGGAGGAGAACTGACAGTTTAAGCTAGACGCCACAACTTATGAGTAACTTACACATAACGTGTGTCAACATCAGAAAACTTTCCTGTAACCTGTGGCCCACATATGGCAAACGCTGGCTAACGTCTCAACGTACTCGCCGCATGTCGACGTTTGCCAGCGTGCTTCAGCGTGCTCCTAACTTATCTAACATATGCCAGCATTTTTGCCACGTTTTCTGTACGTCAGGCACACGCTGGTCTAAATCGTCATGGTATGACAGGAGCTTAAAGCAGCAATGCAGGAGAGGTACCTGAGCCCACCATCTTACTTTAGGAGGATTAAAACCCCTGAAGGGAAAGTAATCGCCGGTAAACTGCAGCTGACTTTACAGGTCTATAGTTTTTATTGCTCAAGTCTGTCATTCCAGATGCTCGAAGTTATGATTGACGTTTAATGTGCTGCAGTAGAATAGTTCCTTTCTCTAACCCTGCGGTTCTCAAAGTGTGTGGCGCGACCCACTGGTGGGGAATTGAGACGTGACAGGTGGGGCGCGCCAAGTTCCGGTGTGTGTGTGTGTGTGTGTTGTGTGACCATAAATGTAGAATGTGTGAGAGCAAACTGTCCTTATAGCTGTATGTTGCCGCTTTTTAGACCAATCAAACCCACCAAGTAATCATTACTAGCCTACATGCAGTCTAATTAAAAGAACATTAGATATGAGAAACATTTCACCTGGAACTGAAGTGCCAAAATGATGATTGACGTGACGTCGGCATATTATTTGTAATAATGTTGTGTGTTGCCAACTCAGCGACTTTGTCGCTATATTTCAGACCCCTCCAGCGACTCTTTTTCAAAAAAGCGACTAGCGACAAATCTAGCGACTTTTGGAGGCTCTGACGTGAAAGCATGTATCGTTCCTTTTCTTGTCCTCCAGCGGCAGGTGCTGCCGTGGGGCGCCTCCCCCATCCCCACCCCGTTCTCCCCCGCTATCGCAGGAGTCCCTCTCAGCGCTGCAGAGACACAGCATGTTTACCCTCAGCGTCCAGACTGCAAATAAAGCGCACATGCGCCGGGATTGACGGCGCAGGTTGATCATAAATAACTGAATTTGAAATATTTTATCTTAAATAAATAACGGCGTTTGATTCACACAGCAGCATGTTAATGTTGTACCGTGATTTGTAGGCTCCTTGGTGGACCACAAGGGAAAAAAAGAAAACGTTTAAAAAAGTTTAAAAAAAATTGTAACTCCGCCATAGTGTCTCTTTATGGTTCATTTTGCCGGTCACAAACCGGGTAAGGGAGGAGGGTTAGTATTGTAATAAATTAAACATTAATAAAACAATAATAATAATAATAAACATTAATGGACAGAAAAAAGTAGCTCTATATTATTTGGGTGTTTTTACTCACTTTTTGTCTCTCTCTAACAACGTTATTTCTCCCACTCCCATCTCAGCTGAACATTGAGCATGACTTGAGAGTGGCAGTATCAAGCCTGCAACCCCGTTTTGAGAAACTGTGCAATGCAAAACAGGCTCATCGCAGCCACTAATGCAGGGATAAATAGACCTGTCTTGCCAGATGGATTTCATTTCTTTTCTTTTATTAACAGATTGCAGAGTGGCACTTAAATTTTTTCTATCTTTGAGCTTGATACAAATTTTGACACAGCTGCATTTTTATTTTCTTTATTTTTGAGCTTGCTGTTATTTGATGTAGATAGTTTGTATTTAGATACTACTTGTTACTTCAATAAAATTGGAACATTTTAAGATTGTTGCATATTTCATTAGTATTGTGTTGGGGCGATGGGGACAGGCGGGGCTTGAAAATTCCCCCTTGTCCAAAGTGGGGAATGACAGAAAAAGTTTGAGAACCACTGCTCTAACCTGAACAAAAGCAGCCAGCTCATGTCGTACATCTTGGTTTTATGTGTTATTACACTCTGTTTCTTTTTTATTTCATACCAAGAGAAACCAGCGGGTGTCTTCTGCAACAACCAGCAGCCCGTCTTTTGCAACAGTGTCTCTTTTGTCTGTGTTTCACAAGGAAAAAAGTCCCAGAAGGACGTTCCTTCAGTGAATCATTAAAGCCAAAGCTGTCTCAGAAACCATAAGGAGCGTTTTAACTTCCTGTTCTCCAAACCGGTGCTGGAGGGAAAAGGGGGTGTGTCTATTTGCTGAAATGTGTTAATCACCGCAGTGATCTCCAGACGCCTGCCAGGTTCCCTCCCTCGCCGCCTCTAAAGTCATTAAGCAACAGACTAATTAAGAGACAGACTGTGGCTCACGCTAGCCGACTCTCTGGAGCCTTTTCTTCATAACAAAGTCTCAGAATATCAATCTGTGGGGGGAAAAAAACTTGATTCAGTTTTCTTTTCTTTAGATCCACACCCATAGAGTTCTCTGCTCTGAGTTTCTGTAGCTTTCTGCTGATTTTAGCGCCACTTCCTGTTCCTCAGCATCTGCTGGAGACAGCTTTGCAGAAAAGGGTGTTGCTTTTTAAATAAACCTTATCTGTCCTCCTATAACCTCACCAATACTGAAAATAACTTCCCTTTGTAACGACTTTAACACAGAAGAGTGCAGCCATCAGGAGCTGGAAGCGCTTAAAGTGTGCTGTGTTCACAATGGAAAAAAATCGGAATCACCCACTTTTTCCACGGCGCAGCCAGAGCAGCAAAGATGCTTCGGTCACACATCAGATCTAAACTTCAAGCATCAAAAATGAAGCAGCACGCGTGTTTTTGCTGCTCCTGCTGCTTACGGCCTGAACGTAGCATAAGTGTCTCTACTATGGAGTGAATTTTGCTCCATTATTGCTGCAAAGAACACATTTTGAAATCCAAAATTTGGAAAAACTTTGCTGTTTACTCAGATTTTTAAACCTTTTTTTATTTTACTTTTATCCCTTTCAGGTTGAGTTTTACAAATTACATTATTTTGAAATTATGTTTTCCACATCTTCACTTCTGAGGGGGACTTTCCTCTGGAGTGAGGACTAGAGATGCATTTCTATAGGTCTGCTAGACGTAAGAACTTAGAGACGTTATTTATCCCCTGGGATTACTCCTTCAGGGAAATTCTGGTTCCTGTAGCTTATAGAGTAGAAAGAGTTGAAGCAAGATGCCATTAAAGATAAAAAAAAATACTACAGATAATATAAAAAGAGTGTATATAGTACAAAAAAAAAGAAAAAAACTTGTAATGTCCTGAATTATGTTTCCCTTAGATATAGAAATATCTGCACAGTAGTGCACAGCTAAGGGAAGACTGCATAGTAGTTGACTTGGATTTTTGCACTCGTTCAGCAGAAAGGTACTGATCTTCTATATTACCCACGTTTTGATTGGTCAGGGTCCAGCGTTCGCACTGCGCTTTAGTAAATGTGATCTAGAAAGGCAATTTCAAAAGAAAGTAAGAATACAATTATTCAAAATAAAATCTAAGTTCTCAAAACTTTTTTTTTTTTATATAAAGTTTTTCAAATTTTGATTTCTGTAAAATAATGGAGCAAAATTCTCTCCATACTGCCCTCCTTGCAGCCCTCCAGTCGTTTTAAAAAGGTTTCATCAGCATGTGATCTGGACCTCGATTCATCCTTCGGATAGCGGTATGATTTATTCCTGCAGCTCAGTAGCTGGAGGACTTTTCATGCTGATCTTCCACCACTCAGTGTGGGATTTTAACCTCTAACCTTATGGGTTAAAGGTTACACTTTTATTCATCATCTTTTAAAAGCCTTTCTCCAGACAGTAGCAACAACTAATAACCCAGTTTCATACTGTTGCTATACGTGCAAACCTTTGCAACTTGTTGTACGTGTGCGAGAAGCCGCTCTCTACTCTTTGTTTTAGTGTCAGGGTCTAAGTGGCGAGTTGTTGGGCAGAGCGGAGGAGGGAAAGGAGCCCAGTTGGCAGCTTGTAGCTGAGAGCAATCTGTAGGGAAACAAAGTCCCGTTGGCCGCTTGCCTAGTTTCCATTCATATTCCTCTCGTCTACACGGACTCTCAAACAAGGCAGCGTCGCTCGCCCGTATGCACGCCACACATACAGATCATCAAACAACAGAAACTCTGAGCTGTGCAGCCCTCCCACATTAAACGAAGCACTTCCCCTGATTAGGACTAATAATAAAACATGACAGTTGGAGGCCAGAAACAAAGCGGCCGCAGCCGAACAGACGGCCCCTCTGCAGCTCACAGCGCTGTCAGCACCTACAAATCCATCTGCTTTAGAGAAACGGGCAACAAAATTTAAACTTTTTGGTTTTAAAGCAATGATTTGTGGAGAGACCAATCAATGGAAATTGATCAGTGATCGGAGGGTCACTTCTTAAAGTTTGATCTTTCCCTTCATCAAATGCATCAAAACTTAAAGCAATCCCCAATAATAAGATATTAGACTAAGACTTTCAGACTTTATTGTTGTTTTCTATACACATAGAGTAAACAAAACAACATTTTGTTTTGTAAAGCTTTCAGACAATTCAACAATGATCGAATTTAAATAGCGTGGACTAAAAGCATTTTGCAAAGACGCATTTTTATGGAAGTTCAGAGCAGTGCAAAGATAAATAGATATGATGCAAATATGCAATATTTTGGTTTGGTGTTGATCATGACCGAAATCATTGGATCTATGGAATAAATTCTGTTCCATATTTGTTATGAGAAACGTGTTTTGCAAGTGGAAATTTGGAAAAAGAAAAAAAAATTTTTTATTAACATTTTTAATAAAGGAAACCATACTCCAGAAATTAGACTTTTAAAAATGTTTTAATCAAAAAAGTCTCAATTGTAAGTTGGTGTTTTTGTTTAGATTTATTTTTTTTCAATTTAGTTTTTATATACAGGGTTTCCGTGGGTCATTAAAAATCATTTAAAGTCATTAAATTATTATTTTTTAAATTAAGGCCTTACTTGGCATTAAAATTCTTTAAGTTTGATATTCGTGGCATTAAAATTGCTTCGGAATAGAGGCTTGAGGCGGAGAAAAGGCTAGAGAATGGGGGGGGAAATGCAAATTTGAACCAAAGTGGCGGGAAAACGAGGAACTCGGAACATGGCTGCAGCCTGTCCACGGTGAGGTTGATGAAGGATTTTGCCGTGTGTATGTATATATATATATATATATATATATATATATATATATATATATATATATATATATATATTTAAGTCATGGGTGCTTGTTGATGGCATTAATTATTTCTAAGAGCATTAAAAAAACATTAAATAAGAGTTACTCATTCATGTATAAACCCTGTATATATTTTATTTTGCATACTACAGATATTTTGAAAATATATATTTTCTTTTTTCATTTTTTTTCTTTCAAATTTCTGTTTTTCGGATAAGGTTTAATAATTGATTGCATTCTTTTTGTGTTTCACTGATTACGTTCTCTTCGCTCTAAGCCCAACACAAACACTCGCTCTGAAACAATAAGAGTGTTGCAATTTGAAGATGGAAATTGAAATGAAAAAAAAAATAATCTAAGAAAACAACAACTTTGTTGATGAAGTAACTTTTTTTTTTTACAAAAATTGTTCAACAGTAATGGGAGAAAATTCACTCATTAGGTTTTTATCATGTAAATGAAGGAAGAAAAAACAGCCTTAAAAATCAACTCAGATAAAATCTGCAGCACATCAGGATTGGTTCAGGATAGGTTTCTATTTCGGACTGTTCAGTAAATAAGGCGTTAAAAGTTATCCATTAATGCTATAATCTGATTATTCCTCTGTTTATGGGCTGTGTTGGAGCGCTGCATCTCTGGAGCTAAAGGTATTCATTCCACGTCTTGTAAAATCCTCATTTACATGATTTTCTTTATTCAGAACCCAGGATTTGCCGTTGGATGATGAGGAGAGTTTCTCAGCAGAGCTCACCCTGCATCCTGACCAGCCGACCCCAGACGAGCTGCCCTGTACTGCTGCTAATGCTGTGCAGGAGCACAGGGACTCTCAGCCAGGTGAGCAAACAGCTTCTATAGAAGGAAAAACTACATTTGGCGTCTAAGACATAAAGAGAAATAAAGATGGTCGCTAACCAGCTGAGAACTTCTCCATCCAATCATCTCACCTGGTTTGCTTCGTTCATTCTGGTCCGATTGTGGCGTTGTAGACTTTGGCGGTTCCAGACAGGAGCCAGCTGCTCATGGCCCCTGTACTGAAGCACAAAATAAATTCTAATCATGTGATCTGGACCAGAATTAGTAACTGATGGGTCAATTGCACCCATTTCATTTTTTTTTTTTTTTTTTACAATTTTGTCTTCATTTTGATTTAAAAATTGAAGCGATAGCTTCAGTTGTACCATTTTCATCTCCTAAATGTTATTTTGAACCAAATGTAAAATAAAAAAAAATCTTTTTAACTCAGATTTTAATTATGATTTGAAAAGAAATGGTAATTTTCATTTAGTCAGTGTCAAAAATCTGTATTTTTCCTTAGTTATTCATGTACACTGACCTAATGACTTAGTCATCCGGGGAGGACTCAGAGTAGAGCTGCTGCTCCTCCACGTCGAGAGGAGCCAGTTGAGGTGGCTCGGGCATCTGATTAGGATGCCTCCTGGACGTCTCCCTGGTGAGGTGTTCCAGGCACGTCCCACCGGGAGGAGGACCAGGGGGAGACCCAGGACACACTGGAGGGACTATGTTTCTCGGCTGGCCTGGGAACGCCTTGGGGTTCCCCTCGGAGGAGCTGGACCAAGTGGCTGGAGAGAGGGACATCTGGGCCGCCCAACTGAAGCTGCTACCCCTGTGACAGCGGAAGAAGATGGATGGATGGACCGAATATTTTCAATACACAGCTTTATTTTATCCATGTTTCTGTTCTCAGACTCGGAGAGGAGCAGTGGGAGAGTCCCAGAGGAGGCGGTCGTTGATGAGGAGGCCATCCTAAGTCTTCTGGAGAGCAGTCAGACTTTTCTCCCACTCTCACAGACGTCCAACCACTCCCCGCTGTTAGGTACGGTGTCCGACCTTCTACTCAGAGCTTTTAAGCTGAGGTTTGTTTAACCTTCCTCTTGTGTTAGCTTTCTGCTGCCATCTGTAGTGTTAGCGGGTCATTTTGGACCCGAGTATTAAATCAGCCATAAAATACCCTAAAAACAATCTTTTATCATCCAATGTTTTTCTTAACTCTTGTATAGCTGATTGGGCTCCCTTATCTATGAAAAGATTGGTTTTAATATTTTTTTGTGGCCCCCTGGGCCTTTGTTTTAGCAGCATACCCCTTGTTTTCAATGTCTAAAAAGTGGTCAAATGAACCTTAAGAGAAGAAGGCAACAAAATAATCAGTTGTTCTGTTACCTGAGTGCAACTGAGAGATATTAAAACACATTTCATAATTGTTCAACAAAAAAAAGATTTTAATTTTAATATTATCAAATATAGTAACATCTATGGTGTTTCGGGTCATTTTGGACCCGTATATATTTACTTCAAGAAAAGGGCAAAAACAAGTCTTTCTTTTTCACACAATAGAACTTAAATACAATATTTATATTAGTGTATATTTACACTTTTGGTGTGTTCTTTGCAGATATATTTGTTGCAGGTGAAGCACACTGTGTAGGTTTTTCTGTCCATATTGCTAGGGCAGACCTGACACCTCTTTCTTTTTGAGCGAGGTGGTCTCACTGGCATTGTGGCTGTGGATGGAGTGCTTGAGGCAGGGCTGGCTGCAGAGGGGGAAGGTGATGCTGATACTCTTCTTGTTGCTGTGGATGTGGATGGCGTATTTGGTGACCACTGCAGCTGTCTGACCAAGTCTGCAGTAGCTGGGTCTCGGGGCACCTGTTCCCGTTGCTCAATGTGCGGCTTGACAAGGGAATTCCCGAGCTCCTCAAGAAACATTCTCCGCTTAGTTTTGGGTTGAATTCCACCCTTGGTGAATATGGGTCCACAACACAAATGCATTGTATGCAGACACATTGAGGATGTTGTAAAACACAACCATTGGCCATCTCCTGGTCATTCGCTGGCAAGTGTAGGTGGCAGTCAGCTTGTCCAGATTGTCCACTCCTGCTGCCCTTCACCAGCCACATTTCAGCGGGCAGCTCAGGTTTATTTTTTTTATGGTGCCCACCATGGTGAGTTTCCTCCTGAGAAGTTCTTGTCCAAGGTCATAGCATGTAAAAAAATTGTCACAAGTGATGTTGTGACCCTGCAGTCCAGTAGTCAAATCGAGGACTACCCGTTTTCCTCGTTTTTTTCAAGGATGCCGCTTGCAGATTTTCCTGTGTAAATCTGTAGGTTCCACGCATAGCTTGTTTCAGCATCACAGGCTGCCCAGATTTTTATGCCATATTTGCCTGGCTTGCTGGGCATGTATTGCCGGAATGGGCATTTTCCTCGAAAAGCGAGAAAACGTTCATCCACTGTCACCTCTGGCCCTGGGTTGAACATCAGTGGAAGGATGTGCACCCATTTCTCCCAAACATCCCTGATGGGAGCAAGCTTGTCAGATTTTGCTCTGGTGTATCGATTGTCAAATCTGAGGACTCTTGAGATCATTTGAAAGGTCCAAAGAGACATTGTTGCCCGTTCTCAGAGGCCTGCTCATCTCCATCGCTAAAATCCTGCGTGTCCTCTGCCTCATTTGCAGCAAATATGTGATCCAAAGCTTTATTTACAGTGAATCTTCTCCTTATCATTGCATCCTGTGAATTGGTGATGTGTACTCTTCAAGTCACCACCTCTACACTCAAATGGCTTGACAAGCCTGGACATTTCTCCCTTTGTTTGTTCTCGCAAAAAGGCAAAGACAAAAGGCCCTAAATGAAGCTCAAGTGGTTGGAAGAAGAGGCTGTTGGTTGATTGTGTGTTCATGATTACATTTAAGGCATTTTTTTTATTGTTTTATAATCAAAAAATTTTAACCACAAAAGTAATTTTTTTCACCAGAGCACTTTATAATTTAGTAAAAAAATAAAATTAGATTTTACTTTGTTTAAATAGAAGTCCTTGACAAAGTCAAAAAGTTTCAACGCAAAAAACAAATGTATGAAGTACTTTTATGTATGCTAAAACTCAAATGGGGTCCGTAGGGACCTTAACACCATAGGAAGGTTAAACCGCTCTGCTTTGAATGATCTATGCAGCAGGTTCTTCAATGTTAACCCAAGTCAGCCCCATTTTACTGCAGCGTTGCTCTAATTCCCCTCTCCTATCCTATCCAATCCCTCAGCTGTTCTTCCATTTTTAGATGAGAAGGAATCCATCCTTTAACGCGCCGCTATGATGTTACATTTCTCAACTGATTTAAGCCAAAATTTAAAGGAATATTCAATGGAACATTATTTATAACAAATACTCATACGTTTGCAGTGATTTAATTAACTTTGCGTTAATCAGTAAAAAAAAATAACAACAATAATTTTCGTTGCAATCACTGAGTCTGGGAGCGGCCATTTTTGCCCAAATATAGTAACCCCTCCCTCCTGCCATCTTCCAGCAGTGACGTCACGGTGCGGTAAGCCCAGCGCCATTCTCCCCGCTTTACAAGCTAAATCAATGGGAACTACTAGACACATCTGCAATCAACAACAATTATTGAAGGTTTCCAGAGGACTTCACCATTGAAATTCACCAGAGCTATAGTGAAACTGACAATGCCCACGTGCATGGCAGCTGGATGCTGGAATACATCGGGTAAAAGTAAAAAAAGTTATTTCACCTTTCTGATTCCTGATCCTCCATAGACGGGTTGGTCGTTGGATCGCCAACTTGAAGAGGGAGGATTTACCATCGAACTTCTGGCCAGAGAAAAAACACGTAATATGTAGCCAACATTTGGAAGAAGAATGTTTTCAAGATGACTTGGATAATAGCGCGTTGTGACAAACACCAGATACAGCACTGGGACTTGATCAACAGCCGATACCGCACCGTGACATCACAAACCAGTAGGTGGCAGTAGTGTTCTTTGACAAACATGGACGCCTCCAGTAAAGCACATTCACATGAAAATTACTCTTAATTAAAAACACTGATCATTTATTGAACAGGATGGAATAATTTCATATTTAAAGTACTTTCAGAAGTTTGAATTCTGAATATGAGCGAACTTTTCCTTTAAAGGATCCTGTCTGTGTCTAGAAGTTGGACTTCATCCCTGTTTTCCTAAAAACAAACAACTGAAGCTTTAAAAAATGCATCAAATCACAGCAGGACTTTTGGAAACAACCGTTTCAAATTCAGATTCTTCTCCTTTTCTCCGCAGAAAGCAGTCAAGATCACGCCCTCATCGATCTGCTGGCAGGCCTGGAGGATGACGGCTTCCACCGGTCCCCCCTCAGACAGGCCGCTAAGTCTCATTCGCTGGCTGGTGCAGCAGCCTACCACTGTAATAGTGATGAAGAAGAAGCCGGGCCGGAGCTGGCGAAGGAAGAGGCGGAGCTCAGTATGATCATGTCACAGCGGTGGGACAGCAAGCGCCATGGGAGAACTGACCCGCTGAGGCAAGTCTTTTTCTCTGCTTGAGGGAGGAAATGTTCACAGCTCAGCCTCCCTGCTGGTGGAGGCAGAGAGCCACAGACAGTGTGCCAGGCTCTGCTCTGCAGGGGGGGATCCTCCTGTAAAGGCTGGTGGCTGCAAACTTGGTGACTTCATGCAGACAGCTGCGTCTCCTAGGAGACTTTTTTTTTTTTTTGGCTTTAAATTAAACACTTATTGCCAGCTTTGTATTTCTCTGATTATGTTCAGGTATCTGTTGTAAAATGTGGCTTAAGACAATATGTAATATAATACCAGAATTGAAACCGTCTCCACAGGCCTGGAGTCAGGGATGCGGAGGATGGCTTCAGCGACGAGCAGCAGGAGTCCTCTGACGAAGACATGGATTGGAGCGGGAATCATTCCCTGTTTGCCGATCTGTCCATCCCACAGCTGGATGGGGCGGCGGACGAAAGCAGCGGTGAGAAGCCAGCCTCTCTAGCACCGGCTCAGGTGTTCCAGTCACTTCACGGCCCACCTGAAGTCCATCATCTAGGCCTGCAGACTGCTTCTGCAGACATTAGTGAGAGGAGGAGGTTTCCTCAGTGGAGGGTTAGTGGTGTTTTGATAAAGTGAAGGTTAGCTGAAATGCTGAGGGTACAGAAATTAAGCTCTAATGCTGAGAAAAAAAGTCAGTTCTTCTAGAGATACCTGTGTTTACCCTTGATTTGAGCAGGGTGCATTATATAGCTATTTTAGAGGTTCCAGTTATCCATCAGGACTGATTCTATTTCCAGGTTATTATCAGGTTGTGTAAAAAGGACCGGTTTGCTTTTCCATCAGCAGAGTTGGAGCATCATCATTAGTCCTGATAAATGTTAAATCCAGGTTATTCTGTTCAATCTCAGGCATAGAGTCAATTTAACCTTTCTAATAAATACAGATATTCCTCTATGTATTTGTGAGAATGTGCTCTCTGATTATTCAATTCAGTTAATTTCCAGAGTGCCAACTCACAACACATGTCATCTCAAGGCACTTTAGAGATACAATTCAACCAGTCAAACATACAGCCATACAGTCAAATTGATTCAAAGTTTTCTATCTAAGGAAAACCAGTTGATTACATCGACTCATTGACTCGAAGGGAATCTCTCACACTAAGCATGCTTGTAGCGACAGTGGAGAGGAAAAACTTCCTTTTAACAGGAAGAAACCTACAGCATAACCAGTCTGAGGCCGACTGGGGTTCAAGGCGACAGAAGCAGAGATACAACAGGCAACACACAGCCAGGCAGATGAAGAGAGCACATCCAGCCAGTCACAGTCAGAGAAACAGGACTACACTATAAAACAGGCCATCTCACTTCCCATGGAGTATGTAGTACGCTTTAGAGTGAAGGCTTTGAGGCCACGCCTCCTGGTTCAACATTAATGTCTGACCTCGGGGAGGCCAGTGGGAAACCTTTCCAGAGCAGCTGAAGCTGTCGTCCCCATGGACCAGAAAGAGGAACTGGACGTTTCTAACCGTAACCTGATAGAGCAGCGGTTCTAACCCCCACATACTATTTTTAGTTTATTATCCAATCATTATTCCAAAGGTAGAGTAGACAAAGCAGCTCTAAGGTCAGGCTCCACATCCAATCTCTTTGTGTTTTCCTTTACCTGAACCAGAGCAGAACTAATTTGACCTTTTTTTTCTCCTCTCTTTGCTCCTAGATTCCTCCTTAACGGACACAGGCTCCATGTCTCAGTCCTCGCTTACAGTCACAGAGAAGCTGTTGGGAAAAAACAGCCCTTGCACAGGAGAGAGCGTCCACCTGGAGCCGCCTTCGCCCGCTAAGATCCTGCTGTGCAAGCATCCTGAGCACAGGCCAGGCCGCGTTTTGGACACGGAGGAACAACTGGAAAACCCCTTTCAGTTGAAAAGCAGCCAGGACGGAGCTAGTGGGTGTTCTGCAGGTTTCAGGGTCAATAAAGAAATCCCGTACATCTTGCCAGTAAAGCACCCGATTCCTGGTAAAATATCCGCCCACTCCGAGGTCTCTCCCATTTGCATGGACAAAGAGGACATCCGTCCTTTGTATGCGTGTAACAAGAAGAGCTCCAAACCCACAGATAAGGCTGAGCTGGAAGGCTTCCCCTTTGCTGCTGGAAAGGTATCAAAACACAGGAAGCAGTACAGCAGCCTGGAGACGGTGGAGGCTAAAAGTTTGTCAATTTTCCAGAAACACAGCACCATCTCCCTCTGCTACCCGGACCTCAGAACCTGCTCTGCCAAGACAGAGCTGGAGTTGAGCACTAAGGAGAGAAAAAGCCCCAAAAAGCTCATGAAGGACGGCGAGTTCAGGGATCCCAGGGAGGAGGAAATGGCCCCAGAAAGCGAGGAAGGAGATGTCGGGGAACTCAAAATCAGATACGAAGACTACCAGGAAAATAAAACCGAGCGGACTATCGTGGCCCAGCAGGAAGCGCACTACAAGTTCTTCCCCAGTGTGATCCTCTCCAACTGTCTCAACAGAAAGAAAAGCGGAAACAAAAAGCCGGCGGACGCCTGCTGTAAACCAGAGCCATCCCCGCCTTGCAAGTTGAAGCTAAAACTTCCTAAAAAGAGGTTAGGAATGGCCGGCCATAGGAGCAAAGCACTGATGTGTCAGAGCCTGTCCTCTGACGGGCCGGTTAGCACAGAGCTCTCCTCCACAACGCCTGCTTTACACGATTCAGAGACCGAGGGGCCAGTTTCAGAGGACCAACCAGAATCACAGACCGAGGCAGATAAAGAGGCCGAGCCCGTCGTAAACAGGGAGTTGGATGGTGAGAAGAAGCCTGTCATTGACCTGATAGAACCAGAGGCGGTCGTCTCCAACCTCACCGTCGAGTCCTCTTTTTGCGAAGAAGCCAAAGACACAACCGAAGAGAATCTGAGCCTTGATCCGCCTTCATCTGCTAAAGTTAGGCACACTAAACCGTCAACACTGCCAGGAAGTAAATACAAGCTGAGGGCGAAACGGAAAATGACCACTGATGGCGACAGCGAGGACCACCCAGTTTCCAGTCGTTCCAAAAAGCCGGGCAAGCTTCCCGGGTGGCAGGAGACCAAGCAAAACAAGAGACGCAAGAGGGAGCCTCCTGTCATCATCAAGTACATCATCATCAACCGGTTCAAAGGACAGAAGAACATGTTAGTGAAGATGTCCAAAGTGAGCGCCGAGGAACAGCAGGTTGTTTTGACTCCTGACAAAATGGAGCGTTACAATAAACTGGCTCCTCTGAAGAGTTTCTGGCCTAAAGTACCAGAGTCCACAGCTGTCAGGTTTCCCATCAAAGAGCCCAAAGCTAAAAAAGCACCCAAACGGAAACCGAGGGTCAACAATGCCAACATCAACCTGATCAGCGGCTCCCCCAAAACGCCCGCGACCAAACGAGGAAGGATGAGACGGACTAAAGGCTGCCCAAGGCGGCCGGATCTGCCCTCCCTACCTCCACCTCGGCCGTCTTACTGCGAGCTTGCGGATGATACCGAGAAAGATTACGCTGATGTCATGGTAGAACTGGGCTATCTGTCAGACCGATCCCCGAGCCCCACTGAATCCACGCCGCCGCGCTGCTGGTCCCCGAGCGAGCCTTCCCTGAGCTGCTCAGAGAAGCTGATCAATCCGCTCAGTGACCCGTGTCTTAGTGCTGCTCCTCAGAAGCCTGCGACCAAACGAGCCCGAAACGCCAAAGCTAAGAGGTCCGCCAACTCTAAACGGACAGCAAAAGGGTCCGCCAAGTCCTCGGAGGCACAAGAGCCCAAAGTGGAGAAATCCAGAAAACGAAACGCCGCTACTCCAAGGCAGAGGAAGAAAGCTAAAGATGGAGTTGAAAGTCCTGCAACGTTTCCGCAGCCCAGAAGGTCCCGCAAGAAGAAAACCAGCGATTCATGTAAAGCAGACTCCCAGCAGCGGGTTCCTCCACCGAAGGATTCCCCTAAAGAAGTTCCTCCATCTCAGCAGCCGTTAGGCCCCGACCACAGCAGCGCCAACAGGGAGTTCACTCCTGCTCCCTCGACCAGCTTCGTCAAGCCGAAGGCGGAGGACTGTGAGACCTCCATCATGGAGGCCAACCAAAGTCTGCTGGCTCCGGTAGAAGTGAAGCAGCAGGGCTGTCAGACCGCCGTGGTGAAATCAGAGTCCTTCCCGGAGGAGAGCGCCGCCCCTCAGCCTGAAGATGTCAAGAGAGAAAACGGTTTTCCTAAAAACGGGGAGGTCCCTCCTCTCCCTGAGGTCTCTGGCCTGGCGGTGCTGAAGCAGCTCCTCCAGAAGAGGCAGCAGGGCCAGGCGCTCCCTCTGCAGGCGGTCGGCACAGACAGACACGCTGCCGCCCTCGCTCAAGCCGCAGTGCTGCTAAACCCCTCCGCCAAACCCATCAGGACCCCTGCCACTGCTCCTCGTAAACCCCGCGCCCCGAAATCGGCCGCTTCCAAAGAGAAAAGGCCCAGAACCAAGAAAGCCAGGACCAGCTGCACTCAGCCGGAACAGCCAGGGAAGCAGGACGGCAGCACGTCTGATGACTGCCTTCTCTTCTCCTCCGCTCCCAGCCTCGCCAGCTGCAACTTCATAGAGGACAGCCTGTCCCCCGAGCTGCCCCCCTCCTACACCTTCGACATTAACACCATCCACCAGGCAGAGTTCTCTAGCCCCTACAGCGGCAGTCAGTTCGTTTTGACCGACAAAAACCTCCCCGTCAAGTTCCTCAGTGACATCTGTCAGGAAGCGCCGCCTGCTCAGACGAAGTGCGTGGAGGAGCTCCCTCAGGGCAAAACCCATCGAGGCTCGGATGTGGGCGGCGCCAGGGCAGCCAGTCCAGAACTCTTTGACAGCTCTGGGAACAGAGAGCCTTTGGCGGACATCACCTCCCTGGATTGTGAGAGGCAGAGGGAGTGGGACCGGTCTCTGTTCAAACCTCACATCCTCAGCCCCTTCCAAGACTTCCACTGCGAGAGGAAAGAGCTCCTGTTCTCCGCCTTCGACCCCGTCATCCCTCTGTCTCTGAGCTCGGTGTCGTTCATCGACCAGGAGGGCTCCCCGACCAGCGAGCTCCAGGAGAGCATCGACGGGCTGACGTCCACCACGCCCAGCAGCTCCCCTCACTCTATCAGCTCGCTGTCACAGGCTAGGGGAGGCCAGCTTCACCGGGGGGCCGCAGGCGGAGCCCACGTCCTCAAGCCACTCATGTCTCCTCCCAGTCGGGAGGAGATCCTCAGCACGCTGATGGACCTGGACATGTCAGAGGCCACTTTCCAGGAGCCCTTCTGCAGCGACCCCTCTGACATCCCAAGCAGGCCAATGTGAGTTAAGCTCCGCCCCCTTAAAGTCCGGTGTTTCAGTTAGAGGAACTCCTTTATGAAGGAAAGCTGAGATGTCTCTCTAACTGCAGGGAGTTAAACTAATGTCCCTGATCACCATCCGCTGTCCACACCGCCATCTTTCAGTCCTTCCTTCCTTCCTTCCTTCCTTCCTTCCTTACTTACTTACTTACTTAGTACCTCTCCTTCTGGCTTAACTGCAAGAAGGAAACCGCAACTTCCCTAATTTTATCGTCCTTCTTTCCAACCTCACTTCCACGCATCCGTGCATTCTAATCTCTTCTTTCCTTGTGTCCTACCTTTCTTCCTTGTGTCTTACCCTTCTTCCTTGTGTCCTACCCTTCTTCCTTGTGTCCTACCCTTCTTACTTGTGTCTTACCCCTCTTCCTTGTGTCCTACCCTTCTTACTTGTGTCTTACCCTTCTTCCTTGTGTCCTACCCTTCTTCCTTGTGTCCTACCCTTCTTGCCTTTGTCCTATCTTCCTTCATTGTGTCCTACCCTTCTTACTTGTGTCTTACCCCTCTTCCTTGTGTCCTACCCTTCTTACTTGTGTCTTACCCTTCTTCCTTGTGTCCTACCCTTCTTCCTTGTGTCCTACCCTTCTTCCTTGTGTCCTACCCTTCTTGCTTGTGTCCTTCCTTCCTTCCTTGTTTCCTACCCTTCTTCCTTGTTTTTCTACCCTTCTTCCTTGTGTCCTACCCTTCTTACTTGTGTCCTACCCTTCTTCCTTGTTTCCTACCCTTCCTCCTTGTGTCCTACCCTTCTTCCTTGTTTCCCTACCCTTCTTCCTAGTTTTTCTACCCTTCTTCCTTGTGTCCTACCCTTCTTACTTGTGTCCTACCCTTCTTCCTTGTTTCCCTACCCTTCTTCCTAGTTTTTCTACCCTTCTTCCTTGTGTCCTACCCTTCTTACTTTTGTCCTACCCTTCTTCCTTGTTTCCTACCCTTCCTCCTTGTGTCCTAACCCTTCTTCCTTGTTTACTACCATTCTTCCTTTTTTTCTACCCTTCTTCCTTGCGTCCTGCCCTTGTGTCCTACCCTTCGTCCTTGTGTCCTACCCTTCTTCCTTGTGTCCTACCTCTCTTCTTTCCTAGTCCTTTCTTTCTTCTTTGTCTCCTCCTTTTCCTGTCATCTTTTCTAGCTAAACTTTAAAAGTCCAGACCTGCTGATTTCAGTTTTGTCTCTCTCTAATAACTGATTCTTTCAGGTGTTATAAGGTCAGAATATATCTTTTAATTTTCAAATCTGTGAATCTTTGAACATGAAGAATAAAATAAAACAGACTTCAATGATTCGCTGATTCGAATTTACCTGATTTTCAATCAGTTAATTGTAAAATAAATCCAGGTGATTTTTTTCCCATTACTTCCTGTTTGGTTTAAATTAAGAGGATTTCTACTCATATCTGCCTGTTTTTTTCCAGGGAGGTCGGAGGGCGTAAACTGACAGTTGGAACCAGACTGGTGAAGGAGCTGGAGGAGTTCAGAGGAGACATCTCTTTGGAGGGCCTCCTTTTCTGGAAGACTGCCTTCTCCGTCATGACACACCCCGCTGCCACCATCACCACCTCATCGCAGGAAGCAGAGACAAAGGAAGAGAAGACCGAGCTCCCAGAATCCTCAGCCAGCGACAAGAAGGTGGTCCTCCTGCCCTGCAGAAACCCACCGAGCCGGGAGCGCGTGCAGCTGTGGCTGGAAGCCAGGAAACAGTACGACAGCCTGCAGAGAGGGAGGAGAGAGACGGGGAAGGAGAGGGGTGAGGCTGAGGTGGAGCAGGACAGTCCGGAGAGAACGGAGCTGCGGGCCGCGTCCAGAAGCCCCTCAGTTACCGTCCAACAGTGCGGGAACGTTTCCAGCACCAGAGCTCAAAGAAGGAAGAAGCTCAACCTGTCTTTCCTCTTGTCTCCTCTGGCGGATGGAGCCAGATCCAGCGCAGAGAGTCCAGGTTCTGATGAGAGCGGGGCGAGCCCGGAGCCGGAGGACAAAGACGAGGATGAAGATGATGCTTCTAAAACAACTTCTCCAGAATCCCCAGAGCTGCCTCCGTGGCAGGAATCCCATCAGCTGAGCCCTGAACGCCTCATCAACAGGAAGCCATGTGAAAACTCACCGGAACCATTGTCCCCCATGCAGCAGGAGCCCGGAGGGGGCCGATCTCCTTCCCCGTTCCTTAGCAACAACAGGGACGGAGACAGTAGCCCACTCCCCCTACACAGCACCCCCTTCATGAGGAAAAGGAGGAGGAGCACAGAGGAGCATGATCCGGTGTGCAGCACCCCCATGAGTGACAGTAAGAGCAAACCTTTCATTCTGGCTCTAATAAAACCTTCAAAGCTGATTGCTTTCCTTTTCCAGCAGGACAGGCCTAGCTTTTTCTCAATATGTGTACTACTGCGTTCTTATGTGCTCGTGTACGCGTGAAACGTCATCATCAAATTCACAAGAACAGCAGACTGACAAAGCCCCCAGATGTTGTTCTGGCCCCTCCCTCTTTACCCAGCATGCATCAGAGCAGACTTGTCCATTATTGAGATTGACAGCTGTCCCAGCATGCACTGCGGCAGCAGAAGCTTCCAGGTTAGCGCTCATAGAGTTCAGAGTATTAAGTAAAAAGTTCTGTTTCATGTTGCTGTTGTTCAATAAAAGTATGTTTTAAGATCATTTGAGGCGAGAACATTATACTTTAAAGCGTCACTATATGGACCATTTAAAGTTGAGAGGACCGCAGCAACCAGCGGCCCGCCGAGGCTAACGGCAGCCAGGGCTAACGTTAGCCTGTCTGCAGTAGCCCTCTCTCTGCATAGCCGTGTGTGAAGGACCGCTGGCTCTGATGGCGATATTTTATTTATTTTTTTTATTTGGCAAAACTGACTGTGTTCATTATTATTCCCCCAATAAATGAAAAAAGTCAGAATATATGATTATCTAAAGACTATTAATAACAGGAGGTGAAATGCAGCTCCAGACGAGCAGAGCGTGTGGTGATGTCATCAGTACGCTTCTGTTCCAATTGACCCATATTTATACTGTGTGTTCCCGCTCTCCCCAAGCCCACGCTGTCCTGTGTTCTTCTCTAGAACATATTTGGCGAGGACACGAGTCTGTACTCGCGTTCTAGTGAATTGAGAAATGGCCCAGGTCTTTAGCTCACTGTTTGTTCTTCTCTTGTAACATCAATGTGTTTATTGGTGCTCGTTGTTCTTCCTGCTGTAGAAGATCCTGTTTGTCCAAGACTTCAGCAGAGGAGAAGAAGCCAAGCTGATCCTTTGAGAAGAGTTTTACTGACCACACAGATGAAGGTGGGCGCCCATTACCTCACATCCCTGACTGCCTATGGGGGGAATTTTCTTACATTGGTGTTGGAAGGAAAAAACAGTTTTTGTTAATGAAAAAAGAAATGAAACTTTGAATAAAGTTTCAACCCATAAGGTGAAAAAGTTGAGAGTAACTGTTTTTCTTAGATTGGGTTTTTAAAAAATTTTTTTTTAAATTAGAATAATAAAAAGAAAACTTTTACAGAGAGTATTGGAATTGCAGTAAAGAGAATGTGATCTGTAAAATCTTTAAAGCTCAGTTAGAAGAAAAGAAAAAATATATACATTTTAAATCTGTAAAAAAAAATGTTTTAAATAGAAAATTAGTAATTTAAAAATCTAAAAAAAAAACTCAAAGTTCCTCTCAAAACCTTTTCTTTATCAAAAGGTTTTTCTAAGTTATATTTCTGTATTGTCTTTTTTTTCTCTCCTTTTTTTTTCAGTTTTCCATTTACAACACATATTTTTGTTTTTGGCTGCAACAATGTTGGAGCAAAGTTCACTCCATATGTGTTGTCTTGTCTCCTCAGAACCAGTTTGCTGCTATAAACGTGCCAAAGAAGGACCAGTCTCAGATTGAAGGGCCCAGCATAGCCAACTCGTACGGCTTCAAAGTCAGCATGCAGAACCTGCAGGACGCCAAGGCTCTGCATGAGGTGAGCTGCTGCTTTTGGTTCTAATCATAATAAACATGCAGAGGCTCAGTAACTCTACAGTGACAGTCCTCTCTCCTCTTTAATCTAACATTTGAACTTCCCCCCAGAAATGGCTGGAATATCAGGTACAGGAAGTGGCTGTATCAGCACCGTAGATCATATAAGCATATTAATCAGCCTTTAGGGTCCTGTCACACCTTGACAATTTATTAAGTGTATGCCTGATGTCCCAGAATATCCTAAACAGGCATCTTCAACATTTTTCATGCCAAGGACCCTCAAATTGATGGTGAGATGGAGCGGGGACCCCCCTAATTCAAACTGGTTCTATAGTCACTCTATTACAGATGGAGTAATGTAACTAAAGTAATTTCTCCCTGGGATTATTAAAGTATTTCTGATTCCTGGTTGATGGGACAGGTGTTGTGAATGAAACGGTGCCCAGCTTAAAGAGCTCCTGTGTGTCACTGAATGTGTGCATTGATGACTGAAAGACATCTTCTGCCTCCATTTATCTGTTTACTACAGTGTGTTGAATTCATGTAATGTGGATTTAAAGACATTTCAATTAGAGGAAAAAAAGAAGGGGGGAATATAAAAAAAAAAGTCTAATCAACCAAAATTTTCAACATATTATAGCAGGTTTTATTTTTATTTTATTTAAATAAAACGCCTGATGTTAGAACACAGACTGTTTATTAAGGATAGTACAACAAAGAGATATTGTAAGTTGATAATAAAACACAAATATAGATTTAAGTACTAAATTTCACACAGGAAAAAGTTATTTTCCTTCAGGATTTGGTCTTTAATCATTACACTCCATTTTCTATTTCATTTTTATTACAAGCATATGGTTTACAACACTTTTCAATGGGATGAGAACATTTGGACACTGTGACAACAATGACAGGTTTTTAAGGAACGTGTGGAAAAGAACAAGGAGCTGTTTGCTTTCAGCGGGGCGTGGAGCAGCGAAAGTTAGATTTTTCCATCTTGAGCAGCAGCGTGTTTGCGGCGCGGCGCGCGCGTCTTATGCATCACACTGGTCTGTGAACGCTGTGTTGTGTAGATGCGCATTTGATTTTACCCTAAAGAGAAAGCTTTGCATTTTCAAAACTCACGTCGGCTACCACGGTTTATTGTTGTGTGTAAATAACAAGAGACCACAACAAGTAAATCAGCCGTACCTCGGTCAAAATCTTTGGAATTAATGTTATTTAAAAAATCCATATTTTTGTAAATGAATATGCCAAATAACCACATTTATTTCCCACGAGAGGTACGCACATTCCCATGTAAATATCTGTCTTTGGAGGATGTGTTTTTTAGCACCCCTAGTTCTCTCATTTTTATTCCAAATACGATTTATAATTTGAATCACAGGGCTATTTTTATCTCTATGGTTCAGTATTTTCTCAAGTAGCAACTTTAAAGCTACAGTGTGTAATTTTCAGCGACATCTAGCAGTCAGACTGCAGACTGCAGCAACATGAACGTCTCCCCCCCACCGCTTCTCCCCCCCAACAGTACGGCGAGCGTTACGGGACAAAATGTCTTCCACGACGTCCACATCACCTACCCTCTCAAGTGATGAGGTTTGTTTACATAGATAATTTTACAGATAGTATTTCATTAGTCTGTGTAGGGTATAGATTTCATGTAGACTTAAGATAATAAATATACCCGTTATTTTTTCTACATCGTTGTGACGTCTTGGTGAGCTGCTTTGCATGGTGATATAAACAGACGAAGTAATTGTAGTCATTAGTTTAACAGCGAGATTGTGTTCGCTGGAAGAATATATATTCCCCGTTTACAGAGTCCAAGTCATTTTGGTGGCACGGGGGTTACAACGCGAGGGAGAGGGAGAGGACGAGGGCGAAGGCAGGGAGGCCGTGCAGCTAGGGCCAGGCGAGAGAGGGGAGCCAGCGGGGTGAGAGCAGAGGAGGAAAGGCTTGAAGATCTCCAAAGGAGCCGGAGAGAAGTAACCGAGGTATATATCCAGAAAATTATTTTACAGAAAATTACTGAATCATTACCTGTGAAACGTCAGGGACGTTGCTGAATAAGTATACTGGAGAGTAACAGCATCATCACGCAGCATGTTATTGTTTTAGACAGGTCTGAGCATCCTGTACTCCAAAAACTGCAGTGATATTAGACAATTGTGTGTATAGGATTAATTACCTGTCCAAGAGAAAACTGGCAACTTGAGCGTCACTTTGAAAACCTTTTTCCTCCATCAGTGACTTCCATCGTGTAAATGCCGTGCCAATGTTGATCCGTGTTTTTTGTCGTTTCTTGTCACTCTTGCGTTTATTCTCGTCGTGTTTCCGCTTCTTAGATGACGGGGGTTCGGTGTCCGCCGCTTTTCGTTGTGATACAGAGTAGGCATGATCCTCCATTCGTCTGATGTTTGGCCACACAGTGCCAAACAGTTTGCAAAGTCACTCACGCCTGCCGCCTTGTTCACCTTTCTTGTTACTGAGGCGCAGTATACCTGCTTCTTCTTCTTCTTTGGTTTCAGGCAGACTAAACGCTTCTCAGGCATAATACTGCCATCTACTGTTCAGTACCGTCTCAGTTCATCTCTCTCAACTTGCCGTAGTTATTTTCGAGCGTCATGGGAGATCTCGCAATCGCTAGTTTGTTGCCTCTGCGCTTGCCGTAGCGCAAAGATGTCAGCCTCCATGGCTGCGAGACCCGCTCCTATGTAATTATAAATAACGAATTCTAAGGCAACGCAAATATTATGGTTAAAAGGCTGAGCTCATAGGTGATGATAAATAACATAGTTATGTATAATATATTAAATTTCTGACTTTATATGCCTGTAATTATTACACACTGTAGCTTTAACTACTATACTTTCCTGTCTTAAAAGGCAGAACTCTTCTAGTCTAAAAAAACTCATTAGTTGAAATGGGGGGGCCTATTTTTTGAACCCCTTAGGGGCTTTTAAAAACAAAAATGTCTCTTTTTGCGCTTTATGAAACAAAGTACCCTATATTTTGTGGATGTACAGCTACATTTCTCATGTAAGTTTGCGTAGTTTTAACACAAACATTTATTTTTCATATTGCACCAGTACAGTTAATGAGCAACCTGTACTTGTGTGCTTGTTTGTTCTGTCTAAAATGTTTATTTTGGAATAAAGAGGTTAGTATAAAAAATATTTTTTGTCCGATTCAACGATTAATCGAAAAAATAATCGGCCGATTCATCGATTTTTTACAAATAATCGTTAGTTGCAGCCCTAGAATAAATAAAAAGAGGCGCAGCAGATCCAGCATCATGTCTGCTAGGAAGTTTGTTGGTGGTGGGCATTAACGCAGGGAGGATCCATCACCTTCTGGCTCACCCTATGATGGGGATGAAGTCTGGAGGAGAACTGATGGTTTCCTCCTGTGAACCCCCTTTATACCAAAACGCTGCCAATACGCCATTATACAGTAGCTGGAAGTTAGAAACACGTTCAGCGCTCGTCTGGAACACGTCAGATATGTTTATATGAGTTGGAGTGAATTTCTTGATAAGTTACCTAGAAGTTACTCAGAGGTTTAGGATAAGCTAGACGCCACGACTTATGAGTAACTTCCATTTAATGTATGTCAACCATCAGATAACATACCTGGAACTTATGGCCCACATATGGAATACGCTGGCGTACATCAGCTTATGCTCAACGTCCTCACTGAATATCAATGTGCTTCAATGTACTCATAATTTATACAAAACATACCCATAACTTATCCAGCGTATTCCAGCGGTTTTTGCACGACTTTTTTTGTGTGTCAGTCATATGCTGGTCTAAATCATCAAGGTGTGACAGGAGTTTTAGATTCAGCTTTTGGTTTTTGTTTTCAGGTCTGTGTTTTACCCAGTTAAGTGTTTTCATTCCTTTTATCTCTGTTGTCCTGGTAACCCAGGTGTGGTTTAAGGTCAGACCAATCCCGCCTTTAACCCCTTTATAGGGCAAGTTTTTGTTTTTGATCACTTACAAATGGAGCCCCCACATCCCTCAGTGAGATCTAGAAGCACTAGATCTATATCCAGCCATTCAGCAAAGTTGCTGCTACATGGCTGCACATCTTATTTTGGCATTTGACCACTTAGATGATCCCTAGAAAAATATATTACCTACTGGAAATTTAAGTTGGAAACAAAAGTTAATAAGTTAAGAGAAAAAGTAAAAAGCTGATTAGAAAGTTAAAAAGTAACGTTAAAAAGGTAAGAAGCTTAGTTGGTAATTATATTTAGGTTTATAAACTAACAATGTCAATGCCAGTATCAGCATTAATGCCTCTAAGATTATGTTGCACCAAAGAAAATGTGTTTGTTTCACTCTGTGTTTTTCATGAATGTCTTATAGAGAGGGGATGTAGGGATGCACGATATTGGGATTTTGGCCGATATCCGATATGCCGATATGTTAAAACTCATGTAGCCGATAACCGATATCGATACCGATGTTAAAGCTGGACAAAAATAAGTAGTAATTGAAAATAGCAGTTTTGTTATCTATTTCTGACACTTTGAAAAATAATATACTCAAATATAATTTCATATGCTGATATCAAATTGATTTTTAAAAACGCGGTATCGATCTATTTTACTTTCAAAATCTCGTGAAATTTCATCGTTCTGTTACAAACTCTCGTGATATTTTGCAAATTCTTGTGAGATTTTGTTAGTAAAATAGATCGATACCGCGTCAATATATCAACATATAAAAATATGGCAGAATTTCGTGAATTTTCGGGGGATTTCGTAGCATAACGATGACATATAGCAATATTTCATTAGTAAGAGAGATTGATATGGTGTTTTTAAATGGCAATATATCAGCGTATGAAGATATTGTGATATTTTAATGTATCAGTATTTTTTCCCTCGTCTTTAGAAGTTTTTAAGTCTGTAAAAAAGAAGTTTTTGAGGAAGAAGAAGAAGTAGTATTTTTTTCTTTTTTGTTTTAGACTTAAGAAACTCAGAAGCTGATCAAATATTGTGTTAAATATCGGTGGGGTGGCCGATGTCCGATATTCAGTTTTAAGGCCGATACCGATAGGGGGGCGATTATATCGTGCATCCCTATATAGAAGCACTTTTATTATTTTTTTTTTATATATTCGGGCAAGTTGCGTTTCTTGTTTTTATATTGACATTAATTTTTGCCATCAAAATATCCATTTTTTTAATGTTACAAAGATAATAAGGCCTTGTCCTGGATTCCTATAACACTATTGGCTTGAAATTTGTTTTTTTCAAAGGATTTCACTGAGTGCCCTATAAAGGGTTAAAAATAGAAGTTAATTTTGTGACGTTCTCCTTGTTCTAAACTGTTCTGATGAGGCTCCACTCCTAAACAAATTCAAATGAAATGAGAACATTCATTTCTGTAGGCGTTTATTTGAAGCTGCCACTTTATCAGACCAATGGGCCCAGGTCTAATTTGAAGCGGTTTAGTAGCAGCTTCATAGTCTGATGCTGCTGAGGCGGCCCAGTTAGTGGTGGGCTTTCAGAGCTCCCCCAGCGCCTCCACCATATTTATCTGACTGAACATGTTCACAGATTCTCCCTCTCTACCTCTCAGGTCCAGTACCTGACCCTGATGGGAATGGAGCTCCACGCAAGAAGCCGCCGTGACCTGGAGCCCGACCCAGAGTTTGACCCTATATGTGCCTTATTCTACTGCTTCAGTTCTGATGCCCCCCTGCAGGGAGCAGACGGCAACCAGCTGACGGGCGCCATCATGGTGGACAGAGAGCAACAGAGTGCGGGGCGAGGTCAGGGCGCTGTGCTTCCAGTGGACTCAGATGCAACAAACCGTCATTCTGGACTGATGAATGTATTCCCCCCCTTTTATAGGCTGCAGAGCGACAGCGCCGCTGCTGGTCAGGTCAGGCGTCTCTGGGCTGCAGGTGACCTATGCCAGCGAGGAGAAGATGCTGTTTCAGGAGCTCATCACCATCATGAGAAGGTGTGTGTCTGACCGGGTCAGTCTGTGCTGCAGTTCTACCAGAACTGCCATCGGTACCAATCATGTGGTTCTTCCAGGTTCGACCCAGACATCCTGGTGGGCTATGAGGTTCAGATGCGTTCATGGGGCTACCTGCTTCAGCGTGCCGCTGCGCTGGGAGTGGACCTCTGCCAGCAGCTGTCCCGGATCCCAGGTACCTCCAGGGGTCATTTAGCTGCATTAGCATTGGCTCCTGTTACAGACGGCATTAAAAACAACCTAGGCAGCATAAACTTCTCATTGTTCAGAGCAGTAGCTGTGTAACTTGACTAAACTCTGTTAATGAAATCAAATTAACTAAACTGATATTTTGAGCTAAAAAACCACCCTGCTTCTCTCACCTATGATTCTTCTGTAACAGCATTTACAGTTTAGAAGGACTGTATGTAACATTAGTCTGGCTGTCTCTGACTGACTAGAAGAAAGTGACTGAGTTAGCCATTGACATTGTGTCTAACATTAGAAAAATACAAAGTAGAGTAAATCGAACGTAGTTCACTGAATTGTCAAGGTAGTAATTCTTTATTAAGTGGATGATGCTGTAGTTTTTGTGGAGTTTGTTATATTTCTCATTTGAACAAGTCATGTGCTGAAATATATATTGCATGTTATATAATGGGATAATGCAGAAACAGCATTAAAGTATATGACATCATGGACAATTTGCAAATAAGAACATACTATACCAGTAACAGACGTGTACTTGTAATTCAGTCTTGATGTGAAATCTTGAAATTATGTGTAATATGTAATTACCATAACAATGTAACAAATACATTTATAAAACATGTACATCATCAATTTAGCACTTTTAGCACATCTGCATTATTCTGGCCATTAAGACATTAAGTCTATTGGATATTTTATAATATGTTATATTACATAATTTAGAGACTTTATTGACCTCATAATAACTATGCGATGTGATGTGCCTATTTTTTTAAATCATAAGTGAAAGTTATCTACTGATGCTATGAAACAGCCTGTTTGTTTCAAAGTGATGAATTTATTTTTATTTTAAGTCTTAAAGGTATACTATGCAACCGGTGTTGATTTTCCAGCGAGGCTCCCCCCAGAGGGCGAAAGTAAAAGTGCACTGTCGTAAATATGCACAGCTGTTCTCCTGGTTTCTCCGTCAAGCCAGGCGCGGTTGTTTTGAGCTTAGCAGACAGGCGAACGCAACGAATGACTGCACAAAGATCGCCACTGTCTTCTTCTTCATGTTTTACTGGCGACTTGCAACCAAATGGAGCATTATCGCCACCTACTTGATCTTATTTATGTTTCCTTAAATCCTTAGGTTTAGTCCAGTTTGTTGAAGATAAGATGACATGATTTTAAGTACTGTCTTTCTGGATTTATTGATCGCCACTGTGCTAGCAACGAGCATGCTTTTAACTGGGGGGTGTAGCAGTTCTCGCCGTAAAGCAAGACCGACTCTCGCGAGACTTCTGAGCCTGTGGGTGCGGGTCGGTGCTCCTGCAATTGCAAGTGCGGTATTTCCCCCACCAGGGCGGCCGAGAATATCTTTGTTCAACCTGAAATGACTAATTTAATCATCCAAAACGTTATGGAACACATTAATTTACTGAAAAATGTTGCATATTGTGCCTTTAACCTCTTACACCCTCAGGGGGTATAAATAAATTTCTGCCTGACAAAAACACACAAAAGTAAATAACTTATAGCCTCACAGCTATTAGATTTAAGAAGAAACTTTTGGTACGTCTGTAAAGGTAAGATGTCATAGAATGGTTTTCTGGTTTCAGCACCATTGTAGCTTTGACCCTGCCTGAAATATTAGGGACAAAATACAAAATATTTTGCATTTTTTGAACCTCGCCAAAATTTTCTTTGAAATAAACATTGCAAAACACTACCAAAATATTATTTATAGCACAAAAAAGTAGTACAGACTTTCAAATCTAAATGTTGTGTAAAAATATACCAAATTTGGACTCAATCGGATTAATCATATTTATTTTAGAATGGTATTAGTGAGAAATTTCTTAGGCGGAGGGGCCATTTTGGCACATTTATCCAAAAATGTCACCAAACTGTGTCAAATGTGTTTTTTACATCAATACTGGGGGTTTGTTAAAATTACGAGGTCACGTAGCAGCTGGACCCACCGGTGGGTCAGTAGGGTTCTAGGGGTTAAGACCCCTTGAAAATCAGAAACACATCGTTGTTCAATGCTGTAGTGCACATATTGTTTAGATAGCGACAGGTAAAACTAGGGAGTACCAATATGGCGGCTGGGGGCTTCACTTCAACCCCATACTACAAATGAGCTATCAGCAATCCAGAGAATGAATAGAGGTCAGTGGAATGCACACAGAAACAGGTCCACACGGGAGTAAGAGAGACTGTAGAGGCACATAAATAGAAAAGACAAGAGCAGAAGGGAGAATGGACTCATGGTTGTGATTAAATCTGCACTCAACATTCAAAATGTGCATAGAGAGTTGTTTAAAATGAGTATTTATTACTCTGACTTTATAATAAAACACTGTAATATTATATAGTGTTACTCATATAGAAACAGATTTGATTCTTTCTCAGAAACTGAAACTTAAGGTTCAATTAATGAACGATTCCACTGAAGTTAACTCAGGACTGGACATTATCATTAAAATCAAATTCATTTCAGATGATACGTCATGTTGATAGAGAAAGACCTTCAATATACCTGTGCAATATTTTGGAAATTGTTTTCTGGTTTATTTCATTACTTTAAGCCTATAAAACCAATTTTAAAAAGAAAAACAAAATCTAAGTGCACTTTTAATCAGCTGATTACCTCTCCTTCCTCATATCTATCCCACCTTCACATTTCTCTATTTCTCCTTTAGCTTTTTGAGATGAACTCATTTGTTCAGAAGACAAACAGCCTGAATGATTATGTTCATGATTTAACTATTATAGATACAATTATCCTTAAAAGATTCATAAAATGTGAGAGCAGAGCCTCTGTGTTTGGTCGGACTGAGCGTAGCAGCTCGGGGATGCTGTCTCCATGGCAGCGGTGTGTTTGTGGTCTCCAGCTGAGCGGGGATCCTCAGCCTCTGTAATTAACTTCCTGTCTGGCTCTCTGCGTGTCCCCAGGCGACTCCAAGGAAAACCGCTTCGCCGCCGAGAGGGACGAGTACGGCGCCGACACCATGACTGAGATCAACATCATCGGACGCGTCACCCTCAACCTGTGGAGGGTGATGAAGAGTGAGGCAGGTTCCTCTACACACACTAACGCCTCTCCTTGTTTTTGTGACCTCATTCCCACGTCCCTCTGGCTTTATTGGCTACTTCCATATACCAATAAAAACAATCTTAACATGTTCGCTTTTACAACCAGAATTTTAGCAATTGAAATGTGAAACCTCTTTAAAGTCGTAGGGAAGCGGCTGTTCCATCCGCTGCATTTCTGAATTCTCCTGAGCGGCGCCCGAATTTACACGAGTGAATAAAGTGAATGTGATTGGTCGATTATCAAGGGGGCGGGATTGTTGTGGTGGAAGGTTCGCAAGCAAGTTTGATTGTGGCCGTTTTGTCGGAAGCATCATTGCTAACCAGTTAGCAACTTAGTGCTAGTAGGTTCCCAATGGGAAATTCCATTGGGACCAAGTAGCACTAAATTGGTGACTTAGAAATGACGCTGTCAAGGAACGCTATGGACAGAGGAAACATGCAAGAGGAGGAGAGTTTAGTGTCAGAGGTCGTGGATGAGTCTCCCCCGTCATCCATTTTTTATTTAGAGGAGGAAAGCGGGGATGAAGATGTTGTGGAAGAGGACGCCAGGGCGGCAGAAGCTTGGTTTGGTGTAGAAGGCTTCCAGCCGTACATGTTTGAGCCCTTGCCTCGCAACGCTGCCAGTTCTGTTAGCTCTACGCCTGCTGAAGCTTGATAGAAGAACTTAAGAGACAGATTGCCCCTCCTTACCCCCTGTGCACTATATGACGCATGATGAGGGTGAAAAGGGCAAAAAATCAGTTCTTAAAACAAAACAAATTAACTCCCTTTTTTGAATCCAAATTTGTAATTATTATTATTAATTTGGTAAAATCTAAATCATTTAAAGTGGTGTTTCAAAAAGGTACAAAACAATCCACTGCATTTTGTTTCCAAGTTTGAAGACGTTTCTCTTCCCATCCAGGAAGCTTTTTTCAATTCAAAATGTCATAAATAGTGTTGAGTTCCAAGTTTTATAGAGTGGACCACAAACAAAGCCTTGTTGTGGTTTAGGAAACATGCAAATTGAACCGGACCAATGGATCCATCAGCCTGTAATACCCGATACCTGTCTATGTCTCTGAACATACAGAGAGATTGACAGTGGAGATCAGGCTGACATTTAGTTTACAGAAACCTTAGTTTTAAGGGTTTTCTATGTTATAACTTTGCATTAAACTCTTTATTACTTTAAAAACAAACAGATTGAGGTGTCACTAATGAGAGCATTGTAGAAATGTTTGAAGAAGCTGCACACAGTGTCCCTAACGCTTCTGTAATGTTTCCAGGTGACTCTGAACAACTATGGCTTTGAGAACGTGGCCTTCCATGTCCTCCACCAGCGCTTCCCTCTCTACACCCCCCGCACGCTGTCTGACTGGTTCGACCACGTCACAGACCTGTACAGGTGTGTTTTCCTCCCCTCTGCTCCATCACAGCCCGGCCTTTTAGCTCACCTCTGCATGTCGCTGCAGGTGGAAGATGGTGGACCACTACGTCAGTCGTCTGCACGGCATCATGCAGCTGCTGCAGCAGCAAGATATCATCGGCAGAACCAGCGAGCTGGCCCGACTCTTTGGGATTCAGTTCCTGCATGTTCTGACTCGAGGATCCCAGGTACGCACGCAGTCCGAGCTGCGCTCTCTCTGCTGCAGCTTTCAGCTGTCAAACATTGGGATGTTATTCTCTGTAAACACAGCTGCGCTCAGAAAGCAGGATGTTTACTTTCTAACTGTGTAAAACTCACCTTCTGATGAGCTCGACCATCTTTAGGAAATTCCACTCATTAAGCAGCTGATCCACTGATCTCTATTTATTCACTGGATTGCTGATTGGTAGTACGGGGTGGAGTGAAGCCACCTGCCGCCATATTGGTACTCCCTAGTCAGACCGGTCACAGGGCCGGATTTATCAAGATCCAATTTTGCGTGCAGTAATTTGCTCTCGCAAACTGGAACTTTGCGCGAGGGGCTGAACCATGGTTTGCGGGTGATTTAACAAGAGTGATTGCGTAACTGGTGGCAGGTGCAAAACTGTTGGAGACGCCCTATTTAAATGATGGTTTTGCGCGTTTTGTGGTTTGCGGCAAAGTAGTTTGTAGTTTGTGCAAACTAGTGCATTAAGAAATTTTAATCTTACAGTGACACCCCCACCCCCTCCAAAAAAAAAAATAAATATATATATATATAAACTTTGGCAACCTTTATTCCCTAAGGTGGTATGTGGCTGAATTTCTACTTCACTGCAGTAAAAAAAAAACAGGTGTTTTGTATTGGCCTGTAGAAAAATGCACATACCAAATGGCTCACAAGAAGTGACTGTGGATGAGATTACTGCGCGCACTTCTGAAAAACGAGATTGGGAGATCCCAGCTCTCGCTGCAACCGTACGCTGGAATGACCCAGATGCTAAAAGTGCAATGTTGCAAGGAGTTTTGTGATATCTGGTATTACGTGGGTCCTCCTTGTGGCTGGCTCCAAATCCATTCGGAGTTCCCCCAACAGCTCCAAAATGGCAATGCTGGATAAACGATATGTTTTGATGATCGTTTCCTCGTTCATTCCAAAAATATTCACACGGAGTGAAAAAATGCGTTCTCTGCGTCTCCTTGCTTCATTTCCATGTCTCCTTCTTGCGACAATAACCGCTGCCATGTGTGCGCAATTACGCATACAGACCATTTGCACCTTCTTTTGAAACGTGTTAAATATAGAGTCAGATACCGTTAGCAAAATTGCTTTCAGGTTTGATAAATCACTTTGCGAGTGCTAAATTAATATATTTACATGTTCTCCTCCCACAAGACGCACTTTTGCGTGTAAACGCCCCATATTGCATATTCATTGCAGAAAAAGTACTAAATGGATAAGAGGCGCTATTTAGCACGTTTTAAAGACCAAATCCTTTTAGCACGCTGTTGATAGATCAGTTTGTACATTTTTTAGCGTGCGCAGTGAAATAGCTCACGTTTTTATACACGCAAACCTTTGATAGATCCGGCCCACAATGTAAATAATGTAAATATGTGCGCTACAGCATCGAACAATAATGATTTTCTCATTTTCAGGGGGGCTTGACTTTTAAAATCAAGACAAATTCATCACTTTCATAGCATCAGTAGATTACTTTAACTTAACTTAAAAAATAGGCACATCACATTGCATAGTTATTATGAAGTCTATAAATCATGTAATATAACATATATAAATCCATCCCAATAGACTTAATGTGTTAATGGAGCATAATAGTAAAGATGTGCCAAATGTGCTAAATGGATGATGCACATTAAATAGACATGTTTTGATGACATTTGAAACCCATATATATATATATATATATATACATATATATATATATACATATATATATAGAAACCCTGAGATGTATATATATATATATATATATATCTCAGGGTTTCTGCGGGTCATTAAAAATTAACATTTAAGTTAAAGCTTTAATTAGCATAAAAATTCATTAAATGTGATTATCGTGACATTTAAAATGTCTTTATATATATATATATTTATATATATATATATATATATATATATATATACTTATATACTTATATAGGTTTATAAAAACAATGTTGTCAGATATATCGTGATTTATTTGTGCCGATCTGCTTTGTGTTGATTGTAAAAACATGTTCGGAAAAGAAGCGCGGGGCGACGAAAAGGCTAGATAATGGGGTAACGCAAATTCAACAAAATACGGGACACGGCTGAAGCCTGTCAACAGTAAAGATGACGAAGGATGTTGCCGTGATATAAATATATAGAAATACCAAGGGCTGAAAGAGGAGCTAGAAAAGATGTGGAAAGTAAGAGCAGCAGTGGTGCCAGTGGTTATTGGAGCACTGGGGGCTGTGACCCCCAAACTGGGAGAGTGGCTACAGCAGATTCCAGATAAAACATCAGAGGTCTCTGTCCAGAAGAGCGCAGTCCTAGGAACAGCTAAGATACTGCGCAGAACCCTCAAACTCCCAGGCCTCTGGTAGAGGACCCGAGCTTGAGGATGACACATACCACCCCACGAGGGGTGAGAAAACAGTTTTTATATATATATATATATGAGAGTCATGGCTTCTTGTTGATGGCATTACAATTATTTCTAATAGCATTAAATAATAGTTATTAATTCCTCTATAAACCCTGTATATATATTTGAGTTTCTTTTTCTTTCGCCAGTATAACATGCAATATATTTCAGCTCATGACTTTTCCAAATTAGTAATGCAACAAACTCTACAAAAAACAACAGCATCATTCACTTAATAAAGAATTACTACATTGACATTTCTTGGTTAGTTCATCCACTGACAGTGAAATTACCTGTAGAACGTCTTCCCACAGCTGGAAAAATGCTTGTTTTTGTAGCCAAATGCTACACATGTAGGCATTTTTACTGCGTGTCTCTGTGGGAGTAGGGAGTACCAATATGGTGGACGGTGGCTTCACTTTTTTCAGGCTATCAGCAATCCAGTGATTAAATATTGATCAGTGAGCTGATCTGATAGCTGATCTATCCAGTCTCTAGAAAGCCTCGACCTCCCTGCTCCAGTCTCTCTGAGAGAAATGTTCCTGTTTTAGCAGCTTTAAATGGGTTGTTAGCAGAGGCAGCGTCCTAATGTAAGAGACAAACTGCTCTTTGATTTATCTCAGCAAAGATGTGGAGATGTTAATTTAATAAGGTAATGTGATGATTTGCCAGAGGAATGAGGATTACTAGCTTTAAAATAAGATCATTAGATATTGGAAACTTGAACTGATATAAATTTGTTATTTTTTCTTGTTTTTGTCATAAATAATCTAATCTAATCAGTCGATTATTAATCTTAGTTCATATTGGACCTTTAATAGGAAAGATTTGAACCAGAACAGGCAGAATGAAGCAGTTCAGAGTCTTTGTTGTCCCACCTGTGCTCCATCCGTCGTCTTCTCCTCCCTCCCTCAGTACCGCGTGGAGTCCATGATGCTCCGCGTGGCCAAGCCTCTGAACTACATCCCCGTGACGCCCAGCGTGCAGCAGCGAGCTCAGCAGAGGGCGCCGCAGTGCATCCCTCTGGTGATGGAGCCAGAGTCCCGCTTTTACAGCAACTCTGTGGTGGTTCTGGACTTCCAGTCGCTGTATCCCTCCATCGTCATCGCCTACAACTACTGCTTCTCCACCTGCCTGGGCCACGTGGACAGCCTGGGAACGTAAGGACGCTCCAGCAGCCTCCCCTCTGGATCAGTTTAGATAAATGCAGTCAGAAGCAGATGGATATCAACCTTTGAAAGCCTAGTTTAGGTTGTGCTCTCCTCAGATCAGAGTCATGCCTCTGTTCTCTTCTGCAGGTCTGATGAGTTCAGGTTCGGCTGCACGTCTCTGCGGGTTCCTCCTGAGCTGCTCCACCAGCTCCGTAACGACATCACAGTCTCTCCAAGCGGCATCGCCTTCGTTAAGGTATGGCGGCTTCCTCAGAGTGTTTGATGATAATTTTGGGGTCAAACGCCTCAGGAGTTCACCTCCATGTGTGCTTGTGTTCAGTCGTCGGTGCGTAAAGGCGTCCTGCCCAGCATGCTGGAGGAGATCCTCAACACCAGGATCATGGTGAAGCAGTCCATGAAGACCTACAAGCAGGACAAGGCCCTGATGAGGCTGCTGGACGCCCGGCAGCTCGGACTCAAGCTCATCGCCAACGTCACCTTCGGCTACACCGCCGCAAACTACTCCGGGCGGATGCCCAGCGTGGAGGTGAGCATGTTATGACATCAGGCTTTAGTAAAATAAGTATTGAACACGCCTCCATTTTTCTCAGTACATATACCACTAGAGGGGGTTATTGACATGACAATTTTACCACGTCTGTAACAATCTATGCAATCTACACATACACAAATAGAACCCTAGATATCCTGAAATTAAGTTGCCTAAAGTGAAATGGCAGAGTGAAAAGTGCTGAACACGGTTACTGATATGTATTTAATACTTTGTACATAAGCCTTTGTTGGCAACGACAGCTTCAAGATGCCTCCTGCATGAAGAAATTAGTCGCATGTACCGCTCAGGTGGTATTTTGGCCCATTCTTCCACACAGTCTTATTTTAAAAGCTTTCCTGGGCCCCTTCTATGAACTCCGATCTTTAGTTCTTTCCATAGATTTTTTTTTTTTTTTGTATTCCAGTAAGGTGATTGGCTGGGCCTTTCTAGCAGCTTTATTTTCTTTCTCTGAAACCAATGGGAGTTTCCTTGGCTGTGTGTTTGCGGTCATTGTTTAGCTGAAATGTCCACCCACGTTTCATCTTCATCATCCTGGTAGATTTCAGCAGATTTTAATCCAGAATGTCTCTGTACATTTTTCAATTCACCTATAAGATGTCTATAAGATGACAAAAATATTTATTGAATACAGTTAAAGCTGTTTATGGGTCTGACTTTGCATAAACATCGTTCCAGTCAATGTCTCTCAAATCACAATAAAAACATATTTTTTGTGAGACTTTTTATAAATTACATTTTTTCCGCTTTCTGAATTTCACTTCTTAATTACAACAAGATGATGATCACTGAATCCAACAATACTTTAAAGGCTTCAGTATCTACTCTGTCCCTCCGGCAGAGACAGTTCATTTATTTGTTAGCCTACCCTGTACAAACTCCATTGCAGCAGTTATAATTTACTATTATTGTTCCCAGAAGTCAGATCAACAGCCGAATTATATAAGATATATGGAACTTATTGGCATCATTAAAAAAAAAATAGATCAGATAAGAAATCTGCCTGTTTTTCAGTGTAGTCCTGTTTCTCTGACTGTGACTAACTGGATGTGCTCTCTTCATCCTCTGACATGGGAGTTGGCTCAGAGCTCGTCTGCCTGGCTGTGTGTTTCCTGGACGGGACCGCCTTTTACAGTTGGTTTTTGACCCTGGTTCTGCTGGAGGTTTCTTCCTGTCCAAAAGGAGTTTTTCCTCTCTACTGTCGCTACAAGCATGCTTAGTGTGAGGGATTGCTGAAGAGTCAATGAGTCGATGGAATCAACTGGTTTTCCTTAGATTGAAAACTTTGAATCTATCTGACTGGATGATCTGGTGAACTGGAAAGTGCCTTGAGATTAAGTGTGTTGTGAATTGGTGCTTTATAAATAAACTGAACTGAATTAATTCTTCCTTCAATTATTTGACGTTTGCCACAAGAAAATGCAGAAAAACAGCCCCACACCATGATGTTCCCATCTCCAAGCTTCACTGTTGCTGTGAAGCTTGGCAAGCTTGATGAAGGGAGCACATCCAGCCAGTCACAGTCAGAGAAACAGGACTACACTGGAAAACAGGCTGATCTCCAACATCTATAAACAAAGGTGTTGATGGCAGCAGCACAGCTGATATTTCTCTCCAGGATGGAGTCACAGCCAAACAGGAACAGACCAGATGAAGCTACTATGAGAAAAAGCAGAGAGAGCAGAACGTTAGAGATTGAACTAACAGATTCTGCAGAGTGGGAGAATAGAGATAGAATGAAGCAGAATGTTGAAAAAGTGGTCCCTTGTCCTCCAGCAGTCTAAGCCTATAGCAGCATAACTATAGAGATAGCTCAGGATAACCTGAGCCACTCTAACTGTAAGCTTTATCAAATAGGAAAGTTTTAAGCCTAGCCTTAAAAGTAGACAGGGTGTCTGCCTCACCTGATTGTTACCGAGATCTGGTATAATATGTCATATCAATATCACCTCTAGAAAAATATTTACTCAGACAAATGTTGGTGTGTTCGATACTTATTTTACCCTCTGTGTGTGAACAGAATTTCATAAAGGTTGATATGATTCTGCAGGTGGGAGACAGCATCGTCCACAAAGCCAGAGAGACCCTGGAGAGAGCCATCAAGCTGGTCAATGACACCAAGAAGTGGGGAGCACGTGTCGTATACGGAGACACAGACAGGTAGCCTTGCCTACGGTGCAACGCTGGCTCTGTCTGGAGCAGCAGAAATGTGAAAGTCATATAAGCCTCGAATAGCAACACGGGCTCCAAGTGTATAAAAAAGGACTATCTGAGCTTAAATATATTATAAGCTTCGATGATTAAATGTTTATTCTGGAGCAAATGTCACATAGAAGCATGAGGTGAGGGAGGAGCAGATTTCACTGCTCGGTTTAGGTCTTGTTGCATTGATGAAATTATAGAAACACAATAAAGGAATCTTTCTATGCTGGATGTGTTTCTGTTGGGAGGAGCTGATTGAGTCGTGAGGAACCAAGCAGGAACTGACATCCATCAGAGCAGAGCTCTCTAACCCTTAAATCCCACCTCCTCCGTCACCAGCGTTCTTTAGTGTTATTTTTATGTTGAGGATTTGGGGGGAAAAATGGAAGAAAGTTTCCATCCCTGCATCAGAGCGCTAACTGTTAGATCTGTGAACGGTTTTCTGTGCTTGCAACCAATCTAGCAGCAGTAGTGGAGTTTGGAGATGCAATCCACTTCTTAAATCTATCTTTGCTCTCCTTTAATTTATCCAGAAGTTCTGCAATCGCACTTTTTCTCTTGGTGGTCAGCTGCATATTTAGCGTGGTCTGCTCAGTACTTAGCGGAGCTGTCTGCAGGTTCCTGTCAGGTAAAGTGTGACCGGCTTGTTCTGGTGTCTGCAGCATGTTTGTCCTGCTGAAAGGAGCCACCAAGGAGCAGGCCTTCAAGATCGGACAGGAGATCGCCGAGGCCGTAACCGCCACCAACCCCAAACCTGTTAAGCTCAAGTTTGAGAAGGTAGGAAAAAAAGCACGACGGGCAGGCAGCCATTGTTTATTCTGATCTGAGCTGTTAACCATGTTTCTGTGCTCCAGGTGTACCTGCCCTGCGTGCTGCAGACAAAGAAGCGCTACGTTGGCTACATGTACGAGAGTCTGGATCAAAAAGAGCCAACGTTTGATGCCAAAGGGATAGAAACAGTGCGTCGTGATGGATGCCCCGCCGTTTCCAAGGTAACAGGGCTTGCCGTCCCTGCTGTGGTTTCTCCTCTGTAGGTTCTGCTCGTGACCTGAAGCTCTTCTTGCGTGTCCCAGATTCTGGAGCGTTCCATCAAGCTGCTGTTTGAGACGCGAGACATCAGCCAGGTGAAGCAGTTTGTCCAGCGGCAGTGTGCGAAGGTTCTGGACGGCCGGGCCAGCATGCAGGACCTGACCTTCGCAAAGGAGTACCGAGGCAGCGGGTCGTACCGGCCCGGAGCCTGCGTGCCCGCTCTGGAGCTCACCAGGTGTGTGTGAGGGAAAGTGCCAGAATGTTCACCTGTTCTTCCTGCAGCAGCTGTCCTTATAGCGGCTGAATCTGTTGCTAGGCAACCCTTTTCTGACTGGTGAGATGAGATTTTACTGACAGATGGAAGGAAATGTGAGACGTCTGTTTTGTTCTTGTTGTCTTGTTGTTCTCTGCAGGCGTATGATGGCGTACGACCGCAGGTTGGAACCCCGAGTGGGAGAGAGGGTCCCCTACGTGATCGTGTACGGGATGCCCGGCGTGCCCCTCATCCAGCTGGTGCGCCGCCCCATGGAGGTGCTGCAGGACCCCAGCCTGCGCCTCAACGCCACATACTACATCACCAAGCAGATCCTGCCGCCGCTCGGCCGCCTGTTCCAGCTGATCGGGGTGGACGTCTTCAGCTGGTACCAGGAGCTCCCCCGGGTGAGCTCCGAGCTGGAAGTCAGTGGTGTGATGATAGAGCACTGCTGCCATCTGCTGGCAGCTCTGCAGATCAACACCCTGGCTCACCATGCAGACAGTTCTGATCCTGTGGTGCTCAGAGGAAAGTGTTAAAGCAGGATGTCTGTCTGTCATCAGGTCCAGAAAGCTTCCTGCTCCTCTGGGCTGGGCGGGGAGGAGCCCACTGGGAGGAAGGGAACCATTTCCCAGTACTTCACCACACTTCACTGCCCCGTCTGTGACGAGCTGACCCAGCTGGGGGTGTGCTCGCGCTGCCGGGCCGACCCTCAGAGGGTGGCGGTGACCCTGTACCAGGACATGAGGCAGTGGGAGAGTCAGCAGGAGCAGCTGCTCAAGGTGAGTCCGCCCTGAGGGACGTCACTGGAGTCTGTTTCTCTACCTGAACAAAAGCACAAACCAGGGAATCCAAAGATGAAACTTTGAAAAATGTTTTAATTTAATTCAATTCCGTTTATTTCTATCGCACCAATTTACATCACGTCATCATCAAGGCACTTTACAGTTCACCAGATCATCCAGTCAGATTGATTCAATGTTTTCTATCTATGAAAAGCTGATTGCATCGACTCATTGACTATTCAGCAATCCCTCACACTAAGCATGCTTGTAGCGACAGTGGACTCCCTTTTAACAGTGTTAAATAAGGAAGTTATGTCCCCCTGAAGGTGGTTACGCCTCAGAACTTTCCTTCCAGTTCTTTTCCTGGGAGCAAGTTACCTAGTATAATTATGCTTAACTCAAACTGAGTAAAAACATATAAAAAGGACTACAGGAGTAAAAAAGTCATAGTTTATTCAAGTTCTGGTCGTTAGAGGACAGAGAAATTGCTTGGAGTTGGCACAGCTGTGTGCTCAAAATGTCAGCAAGCGTTGGCATCAGGCAAAATTGAGCCCCGAACAAGTTTATCTCCTGCTTCTTATACCTTATGAGTCTATGTGTTGCATCAGGTGGACCCTTAGCTGTTCATGTCAGAAACTCACACACCATCCATGACCTGACCTTCATGCCTGTTGCGTCTATGCCTCAGGATTACAGATAGCGCTCCTCTATCAGTCTGGCTCCGGGATGTGTCCTTAACCCGTGTATCTTCCAAAGACAAGAAGACGGTCCTCATTAGATGGCCTCTGTACACACAGTGTAATCCACCATGTGAAGGAAGGCCTTCTACTCCATGTAATCTGGCTAACAGATTAATAATACACATGATTAATAAAGAATAAATCTAACAACAGGAAGAAACCTCCAGCAGAACCAGACTGTGTGAGCGGCCATCTGCCGAGGCTGACTGGGGTTAAAGGAGACAGAAGCAGAGATACAAAAGGCAGCTGTAAAAGTCCAGCATAACACACAGCCAGGCAGACAAGTTTTAAGCCAGCTCCCATCTCAGGGGATGAAGAGAGCACATCCAGTTAGTCACAGTCAGAGAAACAGGACTACACTGGAAAACAGGCCGATCTCTAACATCTATAAACAAAGATGTTGATGGCATAAAATCTGAAAAAATGGGTGAAAAAAAATCCTTTAATATAAAACTTACAACTATTTTTATTATGTTTTCAAAGTTTCATTCTTGAATTCCTTAAAATTTCCATTTACAAAACGTGTTCTTTGTTTGCATTAATGATGGAACAAAATCCACTCTATAGAGTCTTAGTCCTTCAATCTCAAACATTAAGTGGAACCAAACTAAATCTGTAGTCAGAATGACCTGGACGGTTTGCATTGTGAGCTCCATGAAATAAGACATTTTATAAAATATGAAAGCTGATTAGAGAAGCACAGAAATAGTAGACCTGACAGGAAAATATTTATTGGATTCTTTCCACCTGGGTTTTATGCAGTTCGATGTGACTTCATCGATTCATAAGCAAAGGAAGAAAGGCAACTACTTTAAATATGGATCATGAAAGAACAGCTGCAGGTTCACTTCAGACCTTACAGGAGAATAAGAAAATAAAGCCTTGGTCTAGTTTGGCATAAAGAAATGAAGAGAGCTCAGATCTGCACTGAGCTTTTTTATCGATTAGATGCTCCTTTCAAAATAACTTCAATATTTATACCTTTAAAACCTCAGGCGACCTTATGCCCTTAAACAAACAGCACACTGTAGAAAAATAAAATCTAAATAAGTAATTTTATCCTGGAATAAGTGCATTTTCTCTGGACTTGAGGAGGTAAGTGAAACGCTTTGCCAATGGAACAAGACAATTTACATTTAAAATAAGACAAACAACAACTGCACTGTCTTATTTCAAGTGCAGATTATCTAATCTTATTTTTATTTATTTATTATTTTTTTATTAAATATTCCAGATGAATATACAAAAATTAACATAAAATATCAAATCCCCACCCTTCCCTCTAATCTTATTTTAAGAGTAAAAAATTCTCCTTTCCTTTGGCAAATAATCTTATTTACCTGCTAAATGCACTTAATTTAAGAAATGTTTACTAATTTCTTGATTGTTTTTGCAGTGCAGCAGACTGTTAGCTTACAGAAGTGTATTGCATTCGCTCAAAAAAAAAATCGGACAGCTGATCTCATAATTACAAGATTATAAGATCTCGTAATTATGATGAGATCTCTTATTTAGGAGATCAGGAAGGACAATCATTGCTGAGCTACGCTACATGAAACGTGAACAATGCGTGGGTTGTTGGATTTAATCTGCTTTTATTTCCTTTTAGATATTCAACTCTGGGAAATACTGAGTTTCCTCAATGTGGATGGAATTAGTTTGTTTGTCAGCATTGTGCAGATACCATAAAGTCCTTAGAATTGTTTATGTGGAAAAGCCCACTCTGACCTGCTGGAATCTCCCTGTTCCTGCAGGAGCGATTAAACCAACACAGGATGCTTTATGGAGATAAACTAAAGCATCTGAAATGCATTCTTGCTGGCTTCTGGCGTCCCAAAGACAGGAGTTCAGCTGAGACTTCAGAATCGTTTAAAACGACCAGGTCCCAACTTCATGCGGCATGATGGTTCATATGACAAACTAAAACCATACGGAATTGTTTTAATGGAGCTGTAGACAGATTTTGGAATTCGGTCATAAGGCTGCATGCCTAAGTAGTAATCCAAGGTGTATCCGGTCAGACCTCGGTACAGAGAACTATTCAGTGGAACAGATGCAGATATTTTTAAGAAGCAATCATGAAGACCAGTTTTCTGAGAGAGGCTACATTACAAGCTCAAGTAATCATGACCAAATATATAGAGAAGATCTCCTAATTATTATGAGATTGTGTCTCGTAATTACGAGATCTTTTCTCATAATGAGATCAGTATCTCATAATTACAACATATGAGCTCGTAATTATGAGATACTGATCTCGTATTTGTGAAATATTGATGTCATTATGAGAAAAGATCTCATAGTTAGGAGATCTTTTCTCATTGGAGATCAGTATCTCATAATTACGAGATAAGCCGTTTTTTTCTTTGGTGAATGCAATACGCTTCCGTGGTTTGCACATCACTGATGCACTGGAAAAACGATCTAGAAATAAGACAAAAAAAACTTAAATTAAGTTTATTTACCCTTAATTTGAGTAAGTAAATGATATAGTTTGCCAATGGAATGAGTGTTTTTACTCTTAAAATAAGATAATTAGATATGTGCTTGAAATAAGACAATGCAATTGTGTTTTCTTATTTTTTAATGTAAATTGTCTTGTTCAGTTGGCAAAATGTCTCTTTAACCTCCTCAATCCAATAACAAATGCACTTATTTTATTAATAATTTCAACCTGTCGCCAGAGGGGGCGAACTTGAGCTAAGCTCCTTTAACATCATTATAGATACATTTATTCAAGTTTTGTCTTAAAATGCAGTCATTCTAAAATCATTTGGTTTGATTTGGTTATTTTAGTCATTATTTAAAAGCCTTAAAATGCAGATTTGCAAATATAAATTAGGGTTTTTAGTCTAGATTGAACACTACAACATTAAACTTGAGTCAGTATTTATATTTAATGATGTGAAATTTGTTTCCAACTTCCAGAAGAAAATTAAGTTTGGGTTTTGTAATAAAGTTATTGCTGATGAAGCTGGTTTGTTCTTATTTTCAGCAGGGATCAAAATGTGCTTTTCTAAAAAAAAAAAATTTCAGATGAAGTTAATCAGTTTTATTGAAGTTCAGCCCATCAGGATGCAGAATGTCTCATTAACCATGGCGTTGTGTGTTCAGATCTGCAGGAACTGCAGCGGCTGCGCTGAGCGGCAGGTCCCCTGCGTGTCCCTGGACTGTCCCGTCCTCTACAAGCTGTCCCGGGTCAGCAGACAGCTCTCCAAGGCCCCCTACCTCAGACAGCTGCTGGAGCAGTTCTGATCGGCTCATTTGGTGCTAAACTCTGACGCTTCACTCACATTTTAACGGTGCTTTGAATAAACTGGTTTGGTTTTTTTTATATCCGATCTGGTGATTAACTCTAAGTTATGAGACGCTGGTTTACTGCCGCCTCCATAAGCTGCTGGGTGAAGCCGATTCAGCTCCCTGATGATTGACGCCACTAAGAGACGGAGGCCACGTTTCCTCCTTCAGTCCGTCCGCGTTAGCGCGAAAGCTGAACCTTCAAAAGGTGCCATGTTTCCTGCGATTGAACCGCCATCGATCCGACGCATCCTTCAGCAGAGGGTGAGAACTGGAACTGCGTTTCTTTTCAATCTGGGACTGTTGCAATACTGTATGATAAAACGTCATGAAGAGTCTATTTCTTTGTGAACATGGGTTTGATGTACGTGTCCGGTTTCCTGTGCAAACCTGCTTCTAAACTACAGCATCTTTCCTCAAACATGGAAGATCTGTTTGTAAAAATGTAAAAAAAGAACGGGAAAAAAAAAAGATATGGAAGGTGTTTTTGATTGTTTTTATTGACGTGGCCGTGGTTGGAGGTTTGAGATGATTTAATAAAAACAAACTCAGTATTCATCAGCCTTTCTGTTCAATCATTAACCTTCACAGTGATGTCATACGTTGATTCAAAACAAAGAGATTCTTCATTCAACAGAGTCCTTCGTGAACCGCCGGGTGTCCTCAGGAAGGCACTGGAGTGTCAGGATCTGTTGGGCCTGTAGGGGGAGCCAGAGCCCCATCTATCAGCCAGTGACCCTGCTTCGCCACGCCGCAGAAACACAGGAACCAATGAAAAGCAGCGTCTCCCGGAACGCTGAGCGCCATGTTTCAGTCCTTCTTCTGTCTGTTCAGTAACAGCAGCAGCTTATGTCTGGGAGTCTCCCTGCAGCAGATCGCCGTCTGACTCTGAGGTCGCCGTCACGGCGCCGCCATCAGCAGGAGACGACTCCTTACTGGGGGAATTAGAACTCGACGCATCGTCCATTTCGATGATTTCAAAGTCTGCGTCGTTCCACTGATCGGCCTCGTTCTGCTGCTCCTCCTCCTCATCGGCGCCCGAGTCCAGCAGGGCCTGTCTGTACTCGCTGTCGTCGGCGTCCGAGCGACCCCTGATGCCGGGCTTCCTGCTCTGACCGCCGGGGGCCGAGGCGACCTTGTACATGACGGGGAAGAGGATGGAGGTGAAGGTGGCAGTGATGATGGACAGGTACATGAGCAGCGGCTGCTTTGGGAAAACGCCGAGCAGGAAGCCCACCAGAGAGGGGAGCACCATCTCTCCCAGCGCCGCCCCCACCACAAAGGCCGCCGCCGTCTTGCCCGTCACTGTGGTGTACTGCTCCAACCAGGAGATCCCGCTGGGGAAGGTGGTTGCCATGGAGGCGCCGTAGAGCCCGGTGCCGACCCACAGCACGGCGTGGTTGTTGGTGAAGAGGCAGAGAAGGAGCGAGGAGAGGACGGAGCCCAGCAGGCAGAGCAGGATCATGGTGCCGGGGTACAAGCAGGCCGCAAAGAAGATGGCCGCCCCTCGAGTGGCGGCGAAGGTGCCCCAGAACAGAGAGTTGAGCCCGGCCGCGTGGGCCTCAGGCATGTGGGCGTAGTCTGTGGCGAAGGTAAAGATGAAGGTGCCGTACGCCACCTCGGCGCCAACGTAAGCGAAGAAGAAGAAGAAGAGCAGGGCGACGAGAACAGAGTGGTGTTTGGCCACACAAGGGCGCTCTGACGCCGCCTGCGCTTTGTCCCTCGACTTGCTGCCGCAGGCGTAGAGGAGGAGGAAGAGGAAGGAGATGAAGAGGAGGACGGAGCCGATCACAATGTAGGCCCACATGGACTTCAGGGTGATGCGGCTCATGGCGGCGGGGGGGCTGGTGGGTGTGAGCGGCGAGCTGCCGTTTCCATCATGGCCAAACAGCAGCTTGGCTATGATGGGGGAGGCGAAGGCTCCCGCTGCGAAGCTGAAGTGAAGAGCCTGCATGTGGGGGCCAGAGTTCTCCCCCCACGTGTTCAGGATCAGCACGTTCCCACCTGACAGACAAGACAGAGGGAAAAGATTACCCACAACCACCACAAAAACAATCATCCTACCAGACACCAGGGGAGGGGCGGTCTAGTGGTTAGAGCACAAGGCTGGTTGAAACCAGCTGCCACTCAGGGTCCCTTAAGCCCCGATAGCTCCCCCGGCGCCCAAAGATGGCAGCCCACCGCTCCATCAGGGGATGGGTTAAATGCAGAGAGTTAACTTCTCCATTATCAGATCAATAGAGTTCAATTTCATTTATATTTTATTTATCTTTACGGCTGACCAATCAGCTTCCAGTTAGGAAACTAGAAGAGTTAACTAAACACGATCAGCAAAATAAATGTTGGACCTGAAACAGTCCTTAGTTTTTACTGCTGCAGAATATCAGGTATTTTCTACAAAAGCAGCCATGATGGCGAACAGCTGAGCCTCATAGTCTCCTATCAACCAGAACACAACCTGCATCCATTCAGCAGAGCAGGTCAGAATAGAAAGATGATTATATGGAACAAAGTTAATAAGATTACATGATAAATCCCAAACCTTAAAGGAGAAATCTGTTTGTCTGGTGATGAAAAAAAAAAAAATCAGGGTTTATACAGGAATGAGTAACTCTAATTAAATGCTTTTTAATTCTATTAGAACTCATCTTTAATGCCATCAACAGGTACCCATGACTCTCCATCATCTTTACGGCTGACAGGCTGTAGCCATGTCCTGAATTCCTGGTTTTCAGCCACTTTTGTTCAAATTTACCACGGCGGCGCTCCAAGGCAGCTCCTCTCGACAATTTAACACAATATGTCACTTGAAACGATACAACCCAGACATCAAACCCGCATCTATGATCGCCAACGCCTGCTGGAGCTACGGTCTCAAAATGTTTTAATTACTGATATCTTTGACCGTCTAAAAAGCTGCGGATGAATGTAAACAAAACAGCTGAAAATAACGAAGCATCTAGAGGGGAAGCACTGCCCTCTGCAGGTGAAAATGAGGACAGCACCCTAAATGCTTCCCTGCCAAATGCTGAAACATCGCCAGCCGGCTCCTCCCGTCCCCCTCCGCCTTCCACACCTTCTCCAGCATCATCTGTTGCTGCTAAACCTGCCGATGGCACCTCTGCTGCTTCAACCACATCTGCCTCTTCAGCCCAGGAGGCTACCACCCTCACAGCATCATCATCATCGTCCTCTTCCTCCCCTGAGCCAGGAGAAGCGAGTGCTTCAGGAGCTGGAGGCAGTAGCAGCAGCTCAACAACAACTGCTGATTAACTTATCAAGGCTGCACTATAGAGAGATGTTCTAATCCAAATTTCTTTTTCTTTACACTTGTGTATACAGAATGACTAAATAAAGTTAGCATTTTCCAATTCTCTAGCTTTTTCTCCGCCTCAAGCGTCTTTTCCCAACATACGTCTTTAGGATCAACCGGAAGCAGTTCACTGCAAACACATGGAACCAGTTATATCTGTTATATCTGACGAGATTATTTGTATAAACGTTTTTATTTTATTTTTTTATAAAGCATTTGAAATGCCACGATAATCAGATTTAATGAATTTGAATGCCAATTAAGGCCTTAACTTAAAAAAATAATAATTAAATGACATGATTTTTAATGATCCACGGAAACCCTGTTAATAATAAACTAAAGCAAAAGAAGAGGATTTTTTTTTTAAGAAATGGAAAATGATAAAAAAATATATATATATATATTTGTCTTGGTTTCATAAATAAGGTGAACAGGTCAGAAAGACGCGTCATCAGCAGAGGTGGTGGAACAGGAACAGCTCCCAAACTGGCAGCGACTCAAAGCTGCTTGAACCAAACCGGTTGGACCAAATAATACGACACTAAATTTGCCTCCTCTTCCTCACGTCTGCCGAATAAAACACAGACACAGACTGCAACAGGATAAATAGCCAGGGATGCAATGCCAACAGAGCTGCAAACACTATAAAACACAGCATGATTTGTTAAGGTGAGCTCTGTGTTTCCACCTTAAAGCTTTCTCTCTCCGGTTCTTTTCCTGAGAACGGATCACTCAGGACTAACTCTTTAAATAACACTTCATCATGTTTGTGGATTAAATAACCAGGAGACATGACTACAGATTCTGATAGAAACTGTTGAGCTTTACCCACAGTCTGACCTTCCAGCTGGCTCCTCTTACCTGTGTCTAAAGCTCCCATAGCCATCCCCACCACAGACATGATCCCGGTGAGGAACAGCACCTGCTTGCAGAAGGGGATGGCATACATCCCCAACGCCGTGAGCAGCATGGAGATCCCTGCAAGGAGAGACGGGTGGAGGAAACGTTGAAAGGTGGAGAAAAGCAGAACATCTCTTTACCAGGAGTAGGGGGGGTTACCTAGCAGGATATGGGGGTTCATGCACTCAAACAGGATGCCTCCAATGAGCGAGCCGCCGATGTAGCCGACGGCGCGGCCGGTGATGATGTAGGAGATGTTGCTAATGTTCTTGTGCACATTGGCGGCCAGATCCTGGAAGGTGGGGCCGACGACGGAGATCCCCATCCCCTGGAGAGAGAGAGAGGAGGACGCTTAGTGCTGCAGGAAGACGGCGAGCCGTCTCATTTTACAGCTGCTTCCTTTTGCCTTCAGTTTAAACGGAACAGAAAAAACTAAATCAGCAAAGAAAGCTTCTTTAAAGCCAACCTGATTCAAACCAAGCCATCTACTCTGGATCCTAACCTTAGGAAAACCCCTCTAACCAGCGGTTAGCCGCATCACACCCATTCTGCAGGTGTCTCCATCTTTACTGCCTGATGTCACGGTTTGGGATACGGCGGGTCAGAGGAAACGGCTGCACGCTCTAACCGTCGTAGATCTAGGTCTGAGCAAAGAAACAGAAGATGGTGTGTGGAAACCTGACAGAGCCAATAATTAGCTTGATTTATTTCATTCCAAAAATCTATGTAATGTTGAAAACTGGACTACGGAGTGAAGTTTACTCCATTTTTTTGCAAAAAAATTGTAAATTTGAAAATGGAAATTTGGGGGGTGGGGTGCATTCCAGAAATTTTTTTAAAATGTTTAAATGAATAAAAGGTTCTTAAGGTACATTTGCCGTTTTCTCAGACCTTTTTTTTTTTTTTACAATTTCATTTTAATATTTATATTAATGTTTCAAATTAACAAATACTTAAAAAATCATATATACACTTTTTTTTTTAAGATTGTGTCTCACAGTGGGTATGTACCAACCATGACAATTTCAGACCCTCCAAGATTTCTAAGTGGGAGACCAAAATAGCAAATAGTGTTCAAATACTTACTTCCCTTACTGTGTTTAAATATATACATATATACACATATTTTTTCATATTGAGTTTTATAAATACGTATCAAGTTCTCTTCACCTCTATCCCAATATAAACACTCGCTTTAGACCAATAAAAATCTTATTTCTAACATCCAGCAGACCAAAACAAACTCACTCCAGAGGAAAGGGGAGAAAATTGATCAGGAAAACAACATTTGAAAGAATATAATCGCAAAATTCATCTGAGGAAAAAAAATTTGAAAAAAGTTACATTTAAATAAATGTTTTTTCAAAACATTACTGAAAATCTAAATCTGAGATATGGAAATGATTTTCTTGAAAAAAAAAAAACTTAAAGTTTTATTTCTGGATTGCTTCTTTTTCTTTTAAAATTTAAATTCATTTTTTTGTAAAAGTTTTCTTTGCTTGAAACAATAATGGCACAAAAGTCCCGCCATACAGGATAAAAACATTTGTCTGCAAAAACCCACAGCAGCATGATGCCACCACCACCATGCTTCACAGCAGTCAGAGGTTCTTTAGGTCTCTTTCCCTGCCTTAACTCATCCAAACACTGTTTTTGTTGTTACAGCAAAACAGATTATTTTGTCTCGTTTCCGGTTTAACTTATCCCCTCATGAATAAACGCTTAAACAGTATTTTAAAAGAGGCAGAGGTTTACAAAACTTAACCATCACATCTAGATTTGTGTTTCTGGCAGCAACAAAATCCCAAGGTCATAAGAATATGAGGAAGAAGAAGGAGTCTTTGCTGTGAAACTGTTTAGAGTGAGGATAGTTTACCGCAGTGATCTATGAGCAGGAATAAGTGAAGTTTAATCAGGTCCTGTTTAGAGGGAACAAACCACTTCCGCTGCAGGGGAACAAAGACCTGAGCCTGTTTCACTTCTGGAACTGGAGACGTTAGGAAAACAGCAGATTCTTTCGCTGTATGTGCTGCTGGTTTCTGTAAGGTGGCATGAGCTGTGGAAGAGCAAGTTTTGCAAGTATGGAAATCCTGTCTGTGCAGGACATGGAGATAACGTCCCACAGTATGGAGAGATATTTGTGCCATCGGTTTGAGCCCGCAGGAACCAATCCGAGCGCGCAGTGAGACAACACGCGCGCGCGCAAAACCGGTCTGGCGCGCGCTCAACTCTCGCGCTCAGTTTCATCTCTGCGCGTGCTCGAATCCGTCTCTGCTCGCGCTCGCTCGACCTGCTCTCTCTCCGCGCTCAACACCAGCTGTGCGCTCGGCTGTTTCTCCGCTCGCTCGACTCTCTGCGCTCGCAACTTCAGCAATGTATGTAAATGAACCAGCCATCAGCCAATCACACTCAGCTTCTTTTCATCCAATGAAAGCATTCCTTCCTTCTTCTTCTTTTCTATCATGGCGGATCGCAAGCAACTTTAAGGTGCATACCGCCACCTACTGTTCATGAGTGTGTAGCAACATTGTTTTACATCTATTAAATTCTATTTTTTAATTTTGCATTCTGAAGATAACTAAATAATGCTTTCCTTAATCTATAAACATCCTTTATATTTCCTTTATTTCCCAATAATCCTTTAAGACTCCATTCTTGGCCTGTCATTTCAACTACTCTTCTCAATTTTTCCCTTTCAGGTTCATATGTTTTACAGTTCATTAATATGTAAGCATTCGTTCCAAATACTACATCCGGTTAGATGAAAAAAAATACATAAATAAATAAAAACACAATCAGGAAAATCAAACAACTCTTACAGTTATTTTGTCAACATTCCTAAGATAGTACTATAAAATATCTTGAATTATCTCAAATAAACTTCAGTAAAACAGTTATTAGATCATTGCCTCATCCATCTCTTTTACCTGCTATTGACATGGATTTAAATTTGATGTTTTAAAAGAAAAATAAGGAGGATATTTCAGGTTCCAGTATGGTTCAACAATATATAGATAAAAAATATTATGGATATGTTAAATTTTTTATGGATGCTTCAAAATATTCCAATATTAGGAATGGTGTTTTGTTTTAGTTTCATAATTTATTTTTAAATCGGGTAAAAGAATCAGTGATGGAATTCAGCCTACAAAGGAGAAATGTTTTGGATCATATTGGCCTTACAATGGATTGAAGAAATCGTTCCATTAAGAAGTTTAGTTTGCTCTGATTTTAGATCAGCGACCGTTATATTAATTTAAACGCAAATATTCAGACAGCAGACCTGATCTGAAATTTAACAATTATTATTTAGAAGACCTTTTACAGATGGACTCTAAATAAGAGGGTTATTCTTTATTATATATATTAAAAAGAATAATTTGATAAACAGGATTTTTCAGTTGGTGGCGGTAATTGTTGTTTGCCAACCTCCATAAAAAACAACAAAAAGAAGAAACACCCGCCACAAAAGCTAAGAGTAAGGCCAATATGATCCAAAACATTATCTATATACTGTTGAACCATACTGGAACCTGAAATATCCTCCTTATTTTTCTTTTAAAACAGCAAATTTAAATCCATGTCAATAGCAGGTAAAAGAGATGGATGAGGCAATGATCTAATAACTGTTTTACTGAAGTTTATTTGAGATAATTCAAGATATTTTATAGTACTATCTTAGGAATGTTGACAAAATAACTGTAAGAGTAGTTTGATTTTCCTGATTGTGTTTTTATTTATTTATTTATTTTTTTTTCATCTAACCGGATGTAGTATTTGGAACGAATGCTTACATATTAATGAACTGTAAAACATATGAACCTGAAAGGGAAAAATTGAGAAGAGTAGTTGAAATGACAGGCCAAGAATGGAGTCTTAAAGGATTATTGGGAAATAAAGGAAATATAAAGGATGTTTATAGATTAAGGAAAGCATTATTTAGTTATCTTCAGAATGCAAAATTAAAAAATAGAATTTAATAGATGTAAAACAATGTTGCTACACACTCATGAACAGTAGGTGGCGGTATGCACCTTGAAGTTGCTTGCGAACCGCCATGATAGAAAAGAAGAAGAAGGAAGGAATGCTTTCATTGGATGAAAAGAAGCTGGGTGTGATTGGCTGATGGTATGGTTCATTTACATACATTGCTGAAGTTGCGAGCGCAGAGAGTCGAGCGAGCGGAGAAACAGCCGAGTGCACAGCTGGTGTTGAGCGCAGAGAGAGAGCAGGTCGAGCGAGCGCGAGCAGAGACGGATTCGAGCACGCGCAGAGATGAAACTGAGCGCGAGAACAGTGTGTTGAGAGGGTTTTTCAGAGTTGAGCGCGCGCCAGACCGGTTTTGCGCGCGCGCGTGTTGTCTCACTGCGCGCTCGGATTGGTTCCTGCGCGCTCAAACCGATGGCACAAATATCTCTCCATACCACAGCAGGCTGATAACCTGATACTAACACATCACAGCTCAGCGGAGAGACAAAACAGAGTTAGGAAGGACTGGGGACGATCAGGTGCAAAACACCCAAACACTGCATGATCCTGGAAGAGTTTCAACAACAAACTTTCAATATAATGTCAATAAAACAGTGGCGGTTCTAGACCAAATGTACCAGGGGGCCAGGAGGGGGCCAGCGGGTTTTCATGGGGGCAGGTCAAGGGATTCAAACATATTAAGAGAGCTGCATGAAGAAAACATTTCCATTTAATTAGGTTTAATAAAAAAGTATGCGTCTTCCAACTGGAAATATTTATATTTTGCTTGAAAATGTTCATTTGGATTATCGTTACAATCAAAAATAAAAATCCTGTAGCTTTATAAATATCTAAAAGATCAAATAAAGCTTTTTGTTTGGAATATTAGGTCAACATACCTTCATAATTTAGGAAGATTACATATTTCAAGCTTAATTTCAGTTAAAATTACAGTTTTCTATAAAATCAGAATGAGAACTGAAACCAAAAAACTGATAAATTCAGCTGTAAAAATTAGAGTATTTGTTAAAAAAAAACATTTAGCAGATGAAAACTGGCATCCTATCTCAACACCACTGAAGTTATCACCTTATTTTTTTTAAAAATCTGTTTTATTAATTAGCCTATTTAAAAAGTCGCAGGGAAGCAGCTGTTCCAACCGTTGCATTTGCAAATTCTTCCGAGTGGCCCCAGACTTTACACCAGTGAATAAAGTGAATGTGATTGGTCGTTTATCAAGGGGGCGGGATTGTTGTGGCGGAAGGTTCGCAGGCAAGTTTGATTGTTGCCGGTGTCTTGGAAGCATCTTGCTAACCTAGTAGGTAGAGGAGGGGAGTTTAGTGTCGGAGGTCGTGGATGAGTCTCCTCCGTCATCCATTTTTTATTTAGAGGAGGAAAGCGGGGATGAAGATGTTGTGGAAGATAGGGTTAGGAATTGAAAAGATTTTCACGATTCCGATTCCCTTTTCGATTCTATGAAACGATTCGATTCTTTATCGATTCTTTTTTCGATTCCAATTTGGGGGAAAAAGGAGAACAAACAGTTTGATTATCAGCATCAACTTTGTTTACTTAACTATTGCACAATCTTACAAAATCAACAAGATCAAGATGTCCACAGGAAATGTGAAACTGGAGTAACATCCGTGTTTAAATGAAAAATGAATACAAGAACAAACTTAATAACCAACAATGTCTAATAACAAATGATGGGATAATAACCTATTTTAAATAACAAAAAATACTAATTATAAAACAGTAGTAGGGAAAATTAACAGTTCTTTTGCAGAAAGATGAGCATATCTGCTTTTTCTGGAAGGATACGGGATCTTTCAGGGCTTATGGTGTCTCCAGCCGTGGAGAACACCCTCTCAGATGGGGTGGAGGAAGCCTGCACACAGAGGTAGTTTTCAGCCAGTCCAGATAGCAAGGGCAGCGTATCTTGCTTGTTCCACCACCACAGTGTGGCGCTATCCCTGCAGGGGATGGAGGGCAAGCTTTTATAGAGCTGGATTTCCTGATCCACCCTCTGGGCTAAGGAAAGACGGGGCTTTGATTCACAAAGTGACCGCAGCTCGTTGTCTTCCTCCTCGAATAGTTCTTCCAACTTGCGTAACTTACGTAAAAAACGTGACGTAAGTCGTGCTCCCCAGAGCCGGCGCTCTAGGCTCTGGTGCTGCGGGAATCGAAAAAAGAATCGTTCAGCGAGCTGCCAAATGATGCCATGGAATCGGAAAATACGGAACCGGTTCTGAACAGGAACCGGTTTTCGATTCCCATCCCTAGTGGAAGAGGACGCCAGGGCGGCAGAAGCTTGGTTTGGTGTAGAAGGCTTACAGCCGTACATGTTTGAGCCCTTGCCTCGCAACGCTGCCAGTTCTGTTAGCTCTACGCCTGCTGAAGACACAGACGTCCATCCCCGTGAACACTGGGACGGAACTCAATGGGAAAGGAAAGGATTCTGATTTCAACCGTTGCGTATATTAGCTGCGACATATGAATCAAGATGCTATGAGTGAAAAAATGTGATTGACAGATGACCGTTGATATGTGATTGGCCGAATTTAGGTGGACAAGCTGACGTAGAACTAACTGGCCTGCAGAAGATAACGAGAAAAAAAAACACAGATTTTAAGACAGGATTTTTTTTTTTTAAATAGAAAGTTTCTAAATTTTGGGACAATATCATCTGATAAAGAGTACATTTATATACTTGTTTAAGCCGGAATGATTTGACATTTAAATGTTTTTCCTACAACTGTAAAGAAAAAAGAAAGAAATAGATCCATAGATCCAGAGGCCCTATCAGTAACCACGTCTGTTCCAGTGCAGATCATCTTTAGGATTTCTTTCAGTATTATGTCTTCAGAACAGAGGCCAGGATGGGGGCACTGACCCCCGTTGGCTCCTGTCTAGAACCGCTCATGGCGCTAGTCGAAGCCTCCTGCAGAATGCGCGCTCCCGACGCGCGGGAACAGACTGTCAGGGATACCTACTTTGACACTACATTGGTGCTTAGATCTGAGGCGCTGCTGTCAGTCTGTCAGGTCACAATTACTGAGATAAATCTAGTTCAGATGACTTAATAGATTAAATAATTCTAATAATCACAGGTCTAGGGAGCTCTATGGCGTCCAGAGCAGTTATCTGACCCAATGAAATAAATGTAGCATCATATTAATAGAACCGGATTTTTATTGTTTTACAATCAATTTAGAATGCAACATTTCTCCTGCACCTTTATTTTTTTCGGGCAATTTCTTTTTTCTTTTTTCGGTGTCTAACGTGCTGATATTTACCAAACCCAGGAAGGATCCACACAGCGCGAGCGTCACCATCCAACGGCCGCACGCGCCGCTTCCTCCAGCGGACACCCTCACCCTGCTCTCTCCTCCCGCTTTCATTGACCTCTTGGCCAACTTCAGGGCGCTCTTTAGCCCCCGGCCGGCCTCCTTCCTCTGGTCAAACAGCGTGTCCTCCTCCTGCTCCTCCTCCTCCATGTTAGCGAAGCGAACGTGCTTCTTTTTGGCGACGCTCTCGCGCCCGGACGACATACCGGGATATTGCTCCTTTTCTCCGCTGGTGTTCCGTCTAAATGCAGTCTTTAGACGGGCCGCTCCAGCTAGCAGGGCCTCTGCTTGGCTTTCACTGGATGCTGCGACATTAGCAGAGACACGGGACTCAAACGGAGCGGAGAGCAATAACCTGACAGACAGCTGAGCGAAGCTGATTCCTCCCTCAGCAGCAGCAGCTACTGGCTGCTGGAGGTCTGCAAAGATCGTCTATTGCAGAAGATGTTTCTCAGAAACTGATGCTCACTATTTTCTTTCTGAAAACGCACAAAGCAAGGTCAGGTTTAAACAGAGTAATTGTTAGGTTACATTAAAACAATACACCCTTTTTTGTGCATAGCCAGTTCATAAAGAGGCCTTTGTAAAATATTATATAAAGTCGTTGCGGGTGGGTTCGCGTTGCTGCAGTTTGACCGGTAGATGTCGCTGAAAATCACACATTGTAGCTTTAATATGGAAGCAAAACAATCTCATTAAAATCTGCCTTTTTTTGCACACCGAATTTTAAACACTCATTTTTTTTACATATTGAATTCCTTGCGCTGAATTTTTGTCTGGTAAAAAATTCAGCTGCAAAAAAAAAACACAAAAAAAACAATTGCCTGCAAAAAATTCAGCTAGAAAAAAAATTAAAGCATGAAAAAAATTCAGCTGCATAACAAATAGATGCAAAAAAATTTGCCTGCACAAAAATTAAGTTGCAAAAAAATATCCTGCAAAAACTTCAGCTGCAAAAAAATATCCTGCAAAATATTCAGCTGCAAAAAAAAAATGCCTGAAAAAAAATTCAGCTGCAAAAAAAAAATCGCCTGCAAAATATTCAGCTGCAAAAAAAAAAAAAAAAAAAAAAAAAAATGCCTGAAGAAAAAATTCAGCTGCAAAAAAAATCGCCTGCAAAATATTCAGGTGCAAATGTGTTGACCTTTTGGTGAACCCTAGCCAAAGCAATTTACACTCGATGAGTTGAGCAGCTTTTAGCCAATAAAACTAGCTAATTTGATCAGAAAAAAAAAAGAAGTTTGCTACCGGCTGCTTCTTCCAGATCAAAGCATGAGCCTAGGCAGACAGGGGGAGCTGCTCAGTTATTTCACTCAGTCAGATTAGATGAAAAACTCTACTGGCTGTCTATTAGTAGCTACCTGACGTTTTGTAATCATATCCATTTAACAAAAAAACTCCTCATTCACCTTCATTTAGACAAGAACAAAGCTGTGCCCTGTTGTCACATGACCAAATGAGCTCATTTCATTGGCTAGAAGCTGCTCGACTGTCGATTGCTTCGGCTTGAGTTCACCTAAAGGTCAACACATTTGCTGTTGAATTATTTGCAGGTGAAATTTTTGTAGGCAAATTTTAACCAAATATAAATTCGGTGTAGGGCATCCAATATGTAAAAAAAAAAAAAGTTTTTAAAATTCAGTGTTAAAAAAAATTCAGTGTTTAAAATTTGGTGGAAAAAAAAAAAAGACTGTTTCTTCCGTGCTTTAAGAACATTTAAATGATGTCTAAAAAAATCTACTTTTATGGAAAAAAAATAAAAGCAATACTTAGTTATTAAAGTTTTGATTCAGAGTTTAAAAATATGCAAAGTGAATTTTGTTCCATAATTGTTGCAGAAATTAAAATTTTTGATTAAAATGCAATCCAGAAATAAAATTTATTAATTTCTCAATTCAAAAAGGTTTTGGAAATATCACAGCTGTTTTCTAATATTTCATTTTTTATAATTATTTTAATTCTTAATACTCTGTCAGTATTTTCTACAAATTACGAATAAAAGTTTTAATATCACATTCACATCAACTTTAGAATCAAGGTAGTATGGTTCCAGAGTGAGTGTTTCATTGGGATTAAAGTAAAGAGAATTTGATCTGCAACACACGATTTGAAAAGAATGCAATTCTTAAAATCATTATCATAAAAGAGACATTTTTTTTAAATTAGGAAAAAATACTTTTTAAATAAAAGAAAAATACTTTGATAAATTAAAGCCTTAGAAAAACCAAAGTTCTTTAATTTTTTAAATACAAGTTTTTTAAAGTTTATGCATGATTTTATATTTTTAAATATCAGTTTAAAAAGCATGCTCTTTGGTTGTACAATAATGGATCAAAATCCATTCCATAAAATAAAGACCAGGTTTTGTTCTTGTTCAAGTCAAACCAGAAGTTGGATTTTCTGGACCTGGAACCAAAACCTAGAAGCTGCTGCAGAAGACCTGAGCATCTATAGAGAAGATTATCCTGATAATAATACAATGTGCATCCAGGAGTATCAGACTGACATCTAAACCTGACAAAAGCCTTAGCTCAGTAGCTGCTTAAGAGTTGTTAAACAGACCTTTGAGGGGAAATGGAAAATATATTTTCCTTTGTAATTTTAAAAAAGGAATCCACTTTAAAATCCATCGGAATAATCTGCCTTTTTTGGGGTACATTATTTATCTAAACATTTCCTTTTGAACTTGTCATTTTTTTATTATTAAAGTTTTTCTTTTCTATAAGCAATTGACTCAGACCAGGGGCAGTTTTGGAGTGTTCACCAGATCATCCAGTCAAATTGATTAAAAGTTTTCTATCTAAGGAAAACCAGCTGATTGCATCGACTCATTGACTGGAAGGCATCCCTCCCACCAAGCATGCTTGTAGCGACAGTGGAGAGCAAAAACTCCCTTTTAACAGAAAGAAACCTCCAGCAGAACCAGGTTTAGTGTGACGTTGGCTCGAACATGAGAGCTCCGAGCCAGCTCCCATGTCAGAGGATGAAGAGAGCACATCCAGTTAGTCACAGTCAGAGAAACAGGACTACACTAAAAACAGGCTGATCTCCAACATCTATGAACAAAGGTGTTGATGGCAGCAGTACAGCTGATATTTCTCTCCAGGATGGAGTCACAGCCAAACAGGAACAGACCAGATGAAGCTACTATGAGAAAAAGCAGAGAGAGCAGAACGTTAGAGATTGAACTAATAGATTCTGCAGAGTGGGAGAATAGAGATAGAATGAAGCAGAATGATGAAAAAGGGGTCCCTATGTCCTCCAGCAGTCTAAGCCTATAGCAGCATAACTATAGAGATAGCTCATCTTAAATTCTATTCTGGATTTAACAGGAAGCCAATGAAGAGAAGCCAGGATAGGACAGATATGATCTCTCTTTTTCATTTTCATCAGAACTCTGGCTGCAGCATTTTGGATCAGCTGAAGGCTTTTAACTACAGTTTGTGGACTTCCTGATAGGAAAGAATTACAATAGTCCAGGATTGAAGTAACAAATGCATGGACTAGTTTCTCAGCATCATCCCTGGACAGGAGATTTCTAATTTTTGCAACATTCTGCAGTTGAAAGAAGGAAACGTCTTTAAAATTGGATTTAAATGACAAGTGCTGATCAAAAACAACACCAAGATTTTTTACTTTATTATCTGAAATCAGTTTAATCCCATCCAAATGAAGTGACTGACTAATCAGCTTTTTCTGAGACCTTGGTTTAAAAAACAAAAGTAGAAATCATTTCCACTAAAGAAATCTCTGCCTCACTCCACTTCACAGAGCTGCATGTACATTTCAGTGATTTTTTATATTTGAAGCATGTGTTTAAATGTTGGAATAAACCAGCTATTTGTGCTTCCATCAGGAAATCTGACAGAATCTTCAGATTTATCAAAGATTATCTTCAGCCCTCACAGCTTTCTATTTAAAATATATTGTATTATAATTAGACCCTAATATTACAATTAGACCCTTTCTACAGCCTCTTTTTTTTCAAGAAAAATATTTTAGGTTTTGGGTTAAAAAAAAACAATATCTCTTTTTATGATGTCTCTGATCCTGTACTTCTTGTAGATCGTGAACTTGGAGCAGAGTATTACATCTGTCTTTGTTGTACATCTAAGCTTCAGCTGACTGGAACAATCCAGAGTTACAGGAAGTACCTGCAGATATCCCACATGACCATATGATGCTCGCAGTAAATGAAATGGTGACCTCTAGTGTTGGGCAAGAAACTGTTTCTGAAAAAAAATGTCGGACTCCGTAATTTTCTCTGGTCCCCTCCCTGGTCTGACCAGTGATGACATGTTTAGCCGCATGTCGTCATTCAACCGCTGGTTGTCTAGGTGGTGTCCTGAAAACAACGTGGGCTACATTAATAATTGGCAATCCTTTTGGGGAAAGCCTGGTCTGATTCGGAGAGACGGCATCCATCCCACTTTGGATGGTGCAGCTCTTCTTTCTAGGAATCTGGCCACATTTATTAGTCCTCCAAAACCCTGACCACCCAGGGTGCAGACCAGGAAGCAGAGTTGTAGTTTAACACACATCTCTGCAGCTTCTCTACTGTTACCCACTCTTTACTCCATCCAGACAGTGTCTTGCCCACGACCAAAATCTAATAAATTAGCAAAGATTCCCAAAGGAGTAAATCATGATAATCTAATTAAAATCAAAATAACTCCAATTGGGGAAAAAGTTAAAACAATTAAATGCGGTCTGTTTAACATAAGATCGCTTTCCTCTAAAAGTCTACTAGTTAATGACTTGATTTGTGATAATCACATTGACTTGTTTTGCCTTACAGAAACCTGGCTGCAGCAAGAGGATTATGTGAGCATAAATGAGGCAACTCCTTCAAGCTATTTAAATTTTCACATCCCCAGAAGTTCTGGGCGAGGAGGAGGAGTAGCAACAATCTTCCAGTCTGACTTACTGATTACTCCCAAAACAATTAATACCTACAACTCTTTTGAACATTTAACCCTTAATTTCCCTGATCCAAATTTCAAGGCAAGAAAACCTCTTCTTTTTGTAACTTTGTATCGTCCACCAGGTCCTTACTCTGAATTTTTAGATGAGTTTTCAGAGTTCCTTTCTGATTTGGTATTAAATACTGACAGGGTCATCATAGTGGGAGATTTTAACATCCATGCTGACATTGAAGGCGATAGCTTAAGAGCAGCCTTTAATGCTATCTTAGACACTATTGGCTTTGTTCAAAATGTGAATAGTCCCACGCATTCTCATCTTCATACTTTGGATCTTGTGCTGACATACGGCATAGAATGTGAAGAAATAACAGTATTTCCTCACAACCCTGTCCTCTCTGACCACTTTCCAATAACCTTCAGGATTACTTTAACAGAGTTCTCCTCCCCCAAAAGAAGGTTCAATTTTAGTAGATCTTTATCAGATAGTGCAGTT